AATGTAATATTAGAACTTCAATAACTTTAGAATCTAAATTATATTTATTCTTAATTTAATTCTAAATCATATATAAAGTCCTTTTTTATTAATTAGAATTAGACTATATAACGAATATCTATAGAGCGAATTATATTATTAATCCAGCGAATCTCTCGCGAATTCTTTTTTTATAAAATAAATAATTAGAGAATCTAAATACAAATCTATTAGTAAATATCTATAGATAATCTATAAAATAAATAATTTTGAGAATTTAATAGACTCGACGATTCTTATAAATAAATAATATCTTTAATCAGTTCTTTAAAGAGTAGATTATTTATAAATCTTAGACTTTATAAGTTATAGATTATTTTTATATACTAGTTTAATTAGAATATTTTAAAAAAGTCTTTTTTAGATCTCGAGTTTGATTCGAGTAAAAAGACAATATCGATAATAGAGAGGATAATTATATTTATAATATTAATAATAAGTAGTATTAAAAGGTTTATATATATTTTTGAGGTTATGGCGAAATAATTGTTGCCGGCCTCAAGTACTTACAAGGAAGGAACTCACCGGAGATTTCTCAATTGACGCTGCTAGCATACGATTATGCATTTGCCCCCACTTGTCGATACTAAGGTTGTTGTGACAATGGCTGCCTCCAATCTCACGAAAACAATTCAAACTACCAAGTACTGAGCTTCAACTGCATTACACAACACCTCCTGCTACTACCCACCCTCCATCACAAAAAACTAGGAATATTTTTGTAGATCCCGCTCATCTGCCTGATTTTTCCCCTCACATTAAAATTTGTGGCTGCGTTAGTGACGCAGTACTAGTGCCACGGCGTTCGTTGCCTTGACAATGATGAAGGGGTAAAATGCTAGCGCCATTGCCGACCATATGAAGGGGTAATTAATGTCAACGTTTTCCCATCCAAAAAATCCAAAACCATATTCCATCGGTCAATAATTTCGTGTTTTCCCTCCAACAACGAATTCCATCCCCATAATGTCGTCAAGTATAGATCCCGAAGCTTTCCGTCGTCTTGAGCAGTTACTTCAAGAAACAACTATACGAGCAGAAAAAGCAGAGAGAGCAACACAAAGAGAAGCACGAGAGACGAACACGGAATACTACATTCGAAGAATATCTACGTGGCTGCCATGATTTCTTTGGGAAACCACTAATGGTTCAGTCAAATGCAACACTCGGCACGCGAGGCTCTATCACCAATGTCAAAAATAAGCCATGTCCAACTTACCTAAAGCCATGGGTAGAATTCCCGGCCCTCCAGCAAGAGCGCTTTAAAATGGTCGTGACTTCTTCCATCCTGCCACGACGGCCCCTGTGGAAGTTTTCAGTCCACTACTAGCCCTCGAAGATCAAGGCAAAACCAGCGGCCGACAGCTAGCAAGTGAAAAGGACCTAGAGACTTATCAACGTTATGCTGTCGAATCCCCTACAACACTTGTGATTTCTCACCTACGAGAAATTCCTCAAGCTCGACAGATATTTAACCTTGGCAATGGCTTAATCTTCGAGAATCACGCAAATACATTAAGCGACGACAATTAGGAGGTTCAACAAAGCCTTCAGCAACGGAAGCAGCAAGCTACACTTTCAAAGTCACGGAACTGCGATCAAATTTGCGTTTACAAAGATGAAGATAATTCCAACAAACTATGTATGATTATTGAATACAAAGCCCCTCACAAGTTGACACTTTCCAATCTACAAGCTGGCCTTGCACGAGCCACCGACAGAGGTTCCCTGGATCTGCCAAAAGATGTGCTCGACCATCCGATGATCCCAACGGAGCCGGGTGAGAAATACATTTACAAATCGGAGATGCTAACTGCGTCGGCGCTAACACAAACATTCGCATATATGGTGGAGAATGGCCTCGAGTACAGTTATCTTACGACTGGTGATGCATTTGTCTTTCTTCGGATTCTGGAGGACGAGCCACATACGCTTTACTACCATTTCACACAACCTAAGGTTGAAGGGGGGGACGGTATTGGCGAGCTACTTTGTCGCACATCAGTCAGTCAGTCAGTGAGCTTCTCTCTGCTTGCTCTCGGATCGACAACCCGTAGCCATGAATGGCGGGCTCGAACATTGAAAACAGCCTACAAGGTCGGGACTGGCCACGAAGCAATTCTGCTGCAGATGCTGCATGAGGAGGAAGCTGTGACACCGCCATCGTCGGCCTTTAAAGCTCGGAAGGGCGACTCCATCTTCAAACGATCTCCTATTGCGACACGCTTGAGGACATCCAGAAAGGGAAGAAACAGGTGTAATCCTTCTGAGATAGTGGTAAAGGAAGATTCACAAGGACCATCTGATCAATCAGACGCAGACGACTCGCCGGACCGTGGTACATCTCTCAAGCAAAAGCCTCGGCCAAAGACTCCTTCTGCACAGCCAAAAGCCCCAGAAGCTACTGGGACCTCAAAAGACAATTTGCAGTACTGTACTCAAGCCTGCTTGCTTGGTTTTGTACAACGGAATAAGCTTGACCATGCCTGTCCCAACGCAAATGCACATCGTCTTGGTGATAGCGATGATCATGCTATCAGTCAGAAGTCTTTCTTGCGACTCATGCGACGTCAGCTCAAACAGACACTTGACAAAAACTGCGAACCTCTTGGGTTGCAGGGTTCTCGAGGGGCCTTATTCAGATTGACTCTTGTCCAATACGGGTATACGTTTGTGGCCAAGGGAACTGTCGAGGCATTTGTTCCACATTTGTTGCATGAAGGCCAAATTTATCAACAGATGAGCAAAATTCAAGGACTGGTTGTCCCAGTCTACTTGGGTAACCTTTCACTTTCGAACCCATACTTTCTGGATGTCGGAATGAGGATCGTTCATATGATGCTGATGTCATGGGCTGGCGAAATAGCGGAACACGATTTAATTTCGAGCATGGGAAAGAAGCTGCATGAGGAAACGAAGCGGGCTTTCGCGGAGATTCAGAAACTGGGGATTGTCCATGGCGATATTCGTGAACAAAACACATTGTGGAGTGTTGAAAGAGAAGGCATTATGTTGATAGATTTTGAACGATCAGTGTCCTTCAAAGATCGAGAAGCTTTCAAGGCGCTGTCGCCGAATTCAAAAAGAAAACTTCCACTGACAGAAGATCTGATGTCCAACCTAAGATCACCTGCTAAGTGGATGGAATCTTCTGGACTTCGGAGCATTCAAGTTTGAAATATATAATTCCGAGTCATCCTATTTAACAAAGGCACTGTTACGACTATATTGAGCATGTTCAACTCTTCTTTAACAATCTTATAATTTCCAAGTCGCTCTTAAATATCAAAATACTATTTAGTTATTATCAAAAATTCATTAAAAATTTATATATTTTACAATTTTATCTTCAAAGTTTTGACACATCTTCGAAATAATTATAGAGTAATATATCCGAGTAGATCTGCCAGTGCGCCAAAGTAAACAATAACAAAAACGCCAGTGTTGGACTTATTTCATCCCTTCTTAATATCCCATCCCGCAATCGCAAAATGGTGCGTATACATACTACTTACCATTCTATCACCGTTCTTGATATATACGAGCGTTGGATCTAAAACTCTGACTAAGAAGTTTGTAAGATGAGATTGCACCTGGTCGCCCTCGACCACTCTATACTCGTATCAATTCGAATACGAGAAATGCAAGAAATGCAACCCGAAGCCGATGGAGAGAACTACCCATTCATCGCAGGGGAAACGATCGTGGCTGTTGATTTTGATAGATATATGTCATGGAAGGCTGGATCTAGCAGTATAAGTGTAACGCCCTGGTGATTAACATCGGAATGCAATCAAGCTCTTGTCTCAGCTATTCATAGACCGGAAAAGATTCATATATATATATATATATATATATATATATTCCTAGCCGTTATGGAAGTTCCGAAATGCCTCGTGTTGTGTGTGGTTTGATTTCCTAATTCCGATGGTTTTTCTACGGCATTTTCTTTGGTAATTTTGCCTTTTTTCCTTGGTTGGGCTGTGGTGGTGATGGGTGATGCGTATTGTTTCAAATGGTTTGAGGTAGGTGTGGTCATAAATGTCATCTCTTACAGGACAAATAAGGAGTCCGGGCCAGTGTGTCTAATAGTCCAAGAGAATCTCTTGTATTCCGTCTATTTCGGACTGGATATGCTTCAAATGTCACGTTTTCAGTACAAAAATTATCATTTTGATTATAAAAATCACATTTTGGAGATCAAACCATTACATGTAAAGCATAACTAGTCTGAATATTTGTCTAGTCCAGACTAGTATCCTGGAACTCTAAGACTAGCTAGGTTATTGCATACACTGATATTAAGGACCGAGGAGATGTGGCTCTTGTTGCAGGGCATAGTTTAACTGTGAACAAGACGAAATTTAAAACCGTGGTAAATTCCTAGCTAAGATCAGGAAGGTATGAGTCCGTTCCTGAACCTCACCTTTAATTTCATCTAGTAATCGCGAGTAGAGTCTGACATCCTATTCATATTCTCTTTTTTCCACCGATTGCTAGATTTCATATTTTCGAAGAGATAGTCACTACGTATTGTCCTTCCAGTCTTCGACCGATGCCATCGTTGCTTGCAATTTCAAAACAGCCTTCCCGATCAACGAACATATACAAATAGCTGATATGATACACTATCCCCAATACGCTTTCTGTCTACAGTTTGCCTGCATCATCATCCCATCTACAATCTAGGCCCTACTATCTTTCCCCCAATAGCTCATGCCTCTCAATGCTTATCTCCTCAAGAAATCTCTACCGTCATTAAGTTTAGCCACTCGACCACTTTTGATACCAACCTCCATACAATTCGATTGTTTCGGTTACACCGATGACATTCACCTCTTCGCACTACGGAGTCATCTACCGTGACCGCACCCTTCCCCCTTTATCCTTAACCTTCAATGCACTTATAACCAGCGACAATTTACGCACCCAATCGTGAATGATAATTTTAAACTTACCTACAATCTAATCTTTCCATTCTTTAAAATAGCTGCATAAAAATCCATTCAGTAGCAGTATCCCTTTTCCCCAGCGCACACGCTAACTAATACTTGGGGGATATCAGGGGAAAGAGAAATTGTATATCTCCTCGATCTCGATGCTTGGCGTCCAGAGTCCAGACCACATGGGTGAAATGTCTATCGCAACCCGCAATCCCCCCCCCCCCTCCCCTCCCCCCACAGCAGCAGACTTTTACCGTCGTCCATCATCTCTACATTCCTCTCCTTGTCCGCGAAAACAGTATCGCAAGAGCTTTGACATCTATTCATTGGGATCAACATTATTAGCTTTTGGCTTGTGAAAAACATTGCAGATGTACCTCAGCATGATTTGGGCTTTGTTTTGAGTGATTCCAATTTCATTGATATCTCAACCACCACTTCATGAACCTGCACCGCCGGTTTACTCGTGACAATAAGTTGTTTGGGCGGAAATATTTTGACTTAAAGTTTGATGGCTCAGGATCTTAGCCAAATCATACTTTTTCGTGATACAGACGATAGCATTGTAATGAAAAGCCAATTAGTCGATCTTGGACCAACCCTCTTCCTCATAATTAATTCTCCCATACTTCTCCTCCTCCCTTCTTCTCCCATGATTCTTGTGGCACAGCAAGTCAGCTCGATGGCCATGCTTCACATATGGAATAAAACGTAGTTTATGATATGTTTAGAATATCAAAATGTGGCGATATTGGTAATTAATCGCTGAAGCAAGCTACCGAGGTTCTGAATCGGCTTGAATTATTCACAAGCCTAAACCATAGAATTCCAAGGTCCAACTTATATTTGGACATTCAGATGCAAGTTTTGCGAGTGGATGACATTATGGACACACGATGTAGTCCTCAATCCTCCATAGATGTGTAGTTGACTTTCGGGCATCTGCACGGAACTTCCGAATTGTGGATTGCTTATGCAATGACGATACTGTCTACAGCCATCTTGGCCATTTTGAGGATCTCCAAACAACCTTTTGTTCTTTCTCCATAGCATTCTTTAATATTCAATTCTGCAAGCTTCAAATCTGGAAAGTGATCATGTTCCGTTGAACGCACGCCAGCTGCAACTTGTGCATCTAATATATTGTGACGAGCGTTCTGACGTTGTTCCATTTCGGAAATGAGGTCTCTCAACCCTTTGTACTTGAACCCGGGTTGGTCGTGACCATAAATGTCAGCTCGTAATAAGGCCCTCACGGTAGTTCGCCACTCTGCTGGCTGCATTTCTCTATCTGCCATAGGCAATGCCTTTCCGATACACTCTGCTGCCTCGTGGAGTGGCTTCTGATGCTCGCATAACCCGCCGTACTCAAGATATCTAAAAACTTTGGTCTGACCTTTGGCAATTGCCTGAGCTGTCGCTTCGTCAACCATTCTTAATAAGCGGCCATACCCATTTGCTATGATAGGCAGTATAGTTCCAATAAGCATCATATTTTGAAAGGCTTCGATAGGAGGTGTAGGCGAGATCAAAGCTATCGCACCACATGAGGGACACCAAATAGCTTTTGATGCCACAATACTGGCGCCACGAACGACCTTCAAAGCTTCATCAATCTCACTTGGGAACTGTTGCAGTGCCGATAGTGACAAATAAATTGATGGCAAGCAGCTGCACTTATCGCCTGAGATTGGAAAGGGGCCATCACTATCACTTGGTGAGCAAAATGAACGGTTTGATCCCCTTGATAGTTCTGGTTCTTGGTTGACCAAGGGATATTTTTCACTCTGTTTGTTCATATCCACATCACTGAAATCGATAGGTGCACTCCCTAGCATGTTACGGTCTCCAAAATTCCATATACTCTGGCTGATATCTGTATTTGAGGTCCAAAGAGGATTTAAGGTGTCCAGAGGGAGAGCTTGTGGAAATTTCTGGACAGGCTCAAACTCAGTGAAATTCGAATCTGTGAAATATGATTCAGGAAAGTCCGCTACATCATAATTGTTGGTATTAGCGTCAGCAGCAGCATCGGTGGCGGTATTAGTAGCTCGGCAAAAAAAGCTGCTTCGACTACCACTACCACGTCCGGAAATAGTGGTATTTCAAATTCAACATCAACTTCGATTATAGCCACAAGTACGACAAGCCCTACGCAATTGACAACCTCTACCAGCACACCGAAACCATCAGCGTCCAACGTAAGGAAGAATAGCATGCCTATGATAGTTGGCATCGTCGTTGGTGTTTTGGGATTCTTTGTTTTAGTAACAGTGTATATTATTATCCGTCATCGAGACGAACACGGACAGCCTCTCACCGTACCATGGAAGATGCGAGGTGATACAAATGCGCTAGAGCTAGAAACGACTGCTAATCTTCATGAGATAGAGGGGCCTGGGAAATTTGAACTGGACGGTACAAGTATGAAGAGAAAGGTATATGAGCTGGAAGGAAGAGGTATTAAGAAAACTGTGTCTGTGAATGTTGTAGGTTGATTCGAATAGTTGTTGGGAAACTAAGCAGCTGAAAGCTTGACCGGAGTTGGCAACTCACTTGGAAGTCATGTGGCTAGGATCGGTCGGACGCATGATAGCATGCTGGCAGGATCTCAATGAAGATGATTTATTGTAACAGACGAGAAGCTGAGAGAGAGATGTTTTGCGATGTCTTCAAGACAACGAGAAGAGATCTGACGGAGGGAATACTGTTGGGCAAGGGGAAGAAGAGAAGAGAGGAAGAGCTTTAGGATCCCGCAAAGGTCCGTGCAGCTAGTCACAGGGAGATGCTCTCGAACGAGGAAGTGGCCGCACAATTTGTAGTGTCGAGTCCACAGATGGAATCAATTCCACATAGTACTTTGTGCAACTTTACCGTAATAGCATCACTTCAGAAGTAAACGATTTCAAGCCACTTGGCGTGAACCCCTAGAAAAGTAATGTACAACTACAATGTGAGTGTGAGGGGGTCGAAATAAACACCTAGTATCCCTCTTCATAATCTCAGGCCGAGACGAACAATTTACCTTCGAGACAAAGAGAAATAGCGGCTTTTGCTGCTGGTAATTATCCAGTCGAATAATTCTTCTTTGGAAATGGGTGTCTGATGACTGTACAATCGGCACTTCATTCCACCACCTCACTATGTGTACAGTTTCCCCGCCCCTCCGATCGCATCCAGAGCTTTAAATCTGCCACGCAACTTCAAGGTTTCACTCCGGTATCATTTTGTAATCTAGTGACGTGCGGCCTCCTCCTCAGGTTCCTCCTCAAACCAGTCAACCTCCTTAGCCTCAGCACCCCCCTCAGCTTGTCCCTCTACCTCAACAGTGCTTGCCTCATATGCTGCCAATTCCTTTGCGATGTCGGTTTCTTCTGGAGATGTAGGAGCCTTGGGTGGGGAGAACTTGAGAACGTGTCCTTCGGAATCGGAGGCCTTGACTTGGGGTATTCTGTAACTCTTCAACTCCCGGAGGTAAAGATCTTGGACAAGGTCCGCTAGTGATCGGAATTAGCTTCTGACTGGCAGATATTACTGCAGGTACAATCGATCCCATTGGCAGTAATTTTGTAGGTAAGATGATAGTTGTGAATTGGAATAATCAACATACCACGACGAACAGCAGTAGGAATGATGAAGGTTCGTTTGCTGATCATTTGCTGCTTCGCAACGCGGGCAATTTGAGAGCGCTTCTGCGGTCAGTGTCTTGACATTTTAAGCTGAGCATATATCATACCGAAGCGCGGACAGTTTGTGTGAACATCTTGATAGGTATGATGGGCGTCAATTGAAGATCTCGGGGTCGTTGGTGAGGTTCGGAGGTAGAATTGGAAGATCTTGAGAAGCGAAGTAGGGATCATGTGATTTGGTAAAGTGCCTTGGTTGTGAGGCGAGAACCCGAGTTTCGGCGAATGAGCAGAGTAAGTTAACGTCGCATACTGGTATCAAATATATCGATAGACATTTTCTTGCTCGCGATATACCGGTATATGATGTTGTTTGGCACAATAACTCTCCAAACCTGAGTAAGGCTTGGATTATCCCGATGGCCTTCCGAGAATTCACATCACCATAATGACATGTATTGCAAATACACTCGGAACGGTAATATCCATGGTAATATCCAACTGTCTTTACTTCTTACAAATTTGTAAAGAGAATCATATGTTTCGAGGAGTCTCGATTAATCCACGTTTTTCCCCCTAATAATGTCCGTATCTATTCTTTGTTGAATCTTCACATGCTAGAGTTCCTCAATGATCATATTGATACATTCCAATATTCTTTATTCAAAACTTCTAGAACTCATAAAGACAACGTGGAAGTTCCAATTTTGCTCTTTACAAGAGAAACATACCATGGTCCGTTTCTCAACATCTTCTCCAATCATCAGACGCCCAAATGCATCTTCTCTCCCAATTCCTCTACAATGGCATCTCTGGAACGTGAAGGCTTACAGCGAACCGGGTCGGAAGAGGAGCTACTGGAAAGATTATCCCACGTGGTGGAAATATCAGAAGAGAATCACATATTTCCGCAAGATAATCAATTTCTACCTCTAACCAACGATTCTGAGCCTTCTCCATCCTACCATGAGGTAAAGCCTCCAGCGCCGACAAAGCTATATATTCCACCAACTTACTTTCCGTCTGAATTGTCTATCGATTCCGCAAAACTGTTTGCCCCTTCTACTCAACGCTTGTCTGCGCGAATATCAGAATGTGTATCTCCCAAGGAACTTGATCCAACCCAAGAGACGGTAACAGAATTTCCAGACGCATCAGACGACAACACTGCGCATGATGTTTTTACAGATCCACGACCTGTAACACCACTTGGAGTGCTGAATGCACCATTTCCATATCCTGGCGAAGATTATGGTTTGCCTGATCCATTGTTCAAACCTGGTGTCTACCTTGGAACACTCATACAGCCAGATCGCAAGCCTGGCGATAGGAATGTCGTCTATGCGACTATAAGTAAGAATGCGGTATCTCGCAGCTGGATTTCCCCTATTGTACTGACCGCTCACAAAACCAATAAGTTTGGAGGACACTGTAAACTTAACCGCCACCCCAGAGTTAAGTTTGAAGAGATCGAATTTCGAGATGACCTAAAAGATAAATGTCAGACATATGAAGCAATGAGAGAACTTGTAGAACGCAGGATCAGTGGATGGTATGAAACATATGAGGTTCGTTATGCGAGGACATCATGATGAAGAACGATCTTGAGATTATTACCTGCAAGCCGAGTAACGCCGCTGGCAGAATATCTGTTGGTAATACCCCAAGTGCCAGTCTAACCTGACGTTGAATTGAACTCATGGATGTTGTCTAGTGCTGGTTAGTCGAGATCGCAAAATACTGGAATGAAAACCCCCGATATCGAGACGACACGCAACGGTCTTCGGCGTCCTACGTATAAAATCATGCTTTGGAAATCTAGAAACGAGTACTCCTCAATGATGAAAATCTCGCGTGCACTTCCGGCGGCTTCGGAACCACGTATGAGGACACAATCGAATACGTTACAGTATGAGAAGGAAGGCAGAAAACGACACTTTTTGCCAAAACACGACTGCAACGTGCACTATGCCGTACTTTCAGATGGAGATAAGATCTCATATCCTCGCATGGTATGGAGCGGGTATCACTCATGCGTAATCTCGACGAGGAAGAGAAGGCTCTTTACGGCGAAGGGGGGAGACACGGAAGCGACATCCACAATTTTTAGTTTATCCATGAGATATGCTCAATCTTGTATCTCCATCTCAACTCAACTGTAAAGCCACGTTTTCATCCGGATTAGTAGTTCATCAGATATCTCCTTGAGTATGAAGTAAGTGGGCTCTCACCTAAGCTACATGGCATTTCAATGTCGTGTATTGCGTCAGACTTTGAGTAGATATGCAACCAAAAACGCCTTTTTGTAACATAGTTATTGTTTGCCTAGCAAGTATTCATCAGCTGTCCCCCTTTTTTCTAAATTCAGACCTGTGAAACGCCAAGGCATAATCTTGAGGCATACAGTAGAATCCTTTTCATACAACGGATTATATGAAGATATGTTACATGGCGGATATCTTCCGCAATACAAATTACCTGTACATGATTGGCTTGGACCTAGTACCCGGTAATGTCACAATGACCCACCCATTATCGCGGGCAAGGCAAGGTCTAGAAGCAGAAGCGCCTTAACATTTACTGGTACGAGCCAAACAACATAAGACGATTTATCATAGTAAACGCATTGAGTTGTCCTACCGCCTAATTAAGCGCTGAAATTGAAGATAAGTTGATAAGTAAAGTTATTTACATATTGTGACACCCCTCCCCTCCATACCTTCGTTGTTGGCGAGTGCGACCAACTGACAATCTTCCAAAACAATTCCATATGTAAATATGGCACCGCATGCGGATCTCCTCCAAATCAACCCCTCCACTACTACTCTCTCCACATCTCCTCCCATCTCCACAATCTCAAATCCACCCCGAATTTTGGTCATCGGCGCAGGATCACGAGGTTCCCAATACTCCCGCTGCGTCACCGAGTCCACACCCGGCATCGTCTGTGCAGTCGCAGAACCCATTCCGTACAAACGACAACGACTTGGTTCGCACTACATCTGGGGTAACAATACTCCGTCTGAAGGCCAGTCCTTTTCCGATTGGAAAGAATTCCTCCAGTATGAGCTCCATCGTCGAGCTCGCGCATCTCGTGGAGAATCTGTACCGCCGGGTGTCGATGCCGCGTTTATATGTGTTCTGGATGAATTACATAAAGAGGTTATAGTGGGATTAAAGCCCTTGGGATTACATATTATGTGTGAAAAACCTTTGGCTACGACATTGGCAGATTGTGTGGAGATATACAAGGCCATGCTACCAGAATATCCACGGAATAAGCAGCCCGAAAAGATATTCAGTATTGGACATGTACTGAGGTATAGTCCGCATAATATGATGTTGAGGAAGCTACTCTTGGAGGAAAGGGTAATTGGGGATGTGCTGAGTGTAAATCATACTGAGCCGGTGGGTTGGTGGCATTTCACTCATGCTTATGTTCGGTATGGGATCTGTCACCCTCAAACTACAGAGCAAGGTAGCTAATAACCAATAGTGGAAATTGGCGCAAGGAATCCACAACTGCCCCTTCCCTCCTCACAAAATCCTGCCACGATATCGATCTCCTCCTCTGGCTCCTCTGTTCCCCTTCCCCTTCTGATCCAACCGCTCCCCCTCATCTCCCCGAGACCATAACCTCCTCCGGATCTCTTCAACAGTTCACCCGTACCCGGAAACCCACATCCGCAGGGACCGCAACCAATTGTCTCTCCTGTCCCATCGAACCAGGCTGCAAATACTCCGCCAAAAACATATACATTTCTCCCAAGTTCAAGGGTTTAAAAGCCCCCAACACCAATTGGCCCGTCGACATTCTCGTCCCGGACATCGAAGATATTCGAACCACCTCGGGTCTCTCTGCCGCAGAATCCGCCATCCTCTCCGTCCTATCCGAAGACTACACTCCCGAAACCCCCATCTCTGAAATCGAAGCCAAAAATTGGTTCGGCAGATGTGTCTACGAATCCGACAACACAGTCAACGACGACCAATTCGTCACCCTCACATTTCCCGCCAATCCGTCTCTGAATCGCGGGGCTAAACAGGCTTCATTCCATATGGTATCTCACACGAAGAAAATCTGCGCGAGATATACACACATCTATGGAAGTGAAGGGGAAATCTATGCAGATAGCGAGACGATCGAATTCGAAGATTTCAATACCGGGGAGAAAAAAGTCTACAAGCCGAAGATTACGGATGTCAAGAGTGGTCATGGGGGCGGTGATGAAGGGTTGACGAGACAGTTTGTGGGAGCTGTGAATAGTATTATGAATGAGGGGGCAAAGGTGGAAGATGCGCAGAGAGAATGGGTGGGGTGTAGTTGTAAGTTTTTTATCCCCTCTCTAATTCATTGTATCCTTTCCTTTTATTCTTCTTGTTTACCGAAAGACCCGATATCTGACGCAAAATCTCCAAATCTCAGTAGAAGAAGTAATCAGAAGTCACGCGGTAGTCTTCGCAGCCGAAGAAGCGCGAAATAATAAACTAGTAATAGATTTTGAGAGTTGGTGGAACAGAGAGGTTGTAGGAAAACTTAGCGCTTAGTGTTCAGATATAATGATGATGTGGCGTTCGGATATGGATATGGATATGGATAGGGATAGGGGATAGCGAAAGGAGTTCTGGTGCTATATTCTAATGTCAAGTCGTCTGTGGTGTGGACTCTTGTTTCATACCAGCAACGGAGGGTGTGAAGTGTGAAGTGTGAAGCTTGAAGCCCAGTGCTAGAGTTAAGATATTGAAAATCAAATTCACTGGTATTGAGATGGGATGGATAGGTGGCTTGGGCTAAGCTACTATATCTATATGAGCTTTGGAATAATCAATGTCATTATTTATAAGACGATTACTAGTACCGATACGGTACCGCATATCTACCTACTACATACTCGAGTACAATAGTCATAGCTATAATAAACTCAATTCCAACCCTTCCTTTAAACGACAATCTAAGTATCAGACAATACCATTCAGTAAAGGGACCTTATCCATTCTACTCTACGAGTATAGGATCTCCTTATATTTAGATATAAGCATCAAAGTCATATGAAAATAACTTCCTCTAAAAGGGTTTAGTTTTACATGTTACATACCGGCCGGTACTTTCAAGTATTATATTGAAGAATGAATATATCAAAAAGTATCGCCAATAAATAGTTACTACCCTATCCGATCCCCTGTCTACATACCGTCTATCTATATCTAGATAACAAGAGGGGGATCATCCCTCTTATAATAAGATTGTTCAGACGACTACGAGTTTTTCAAAACACCACCTTCAACTTCAAAAATAAACACTGTATGGATATTTCTACCTCATCATCACCCCTTTCCCCCCTTCACAAGCAAACTTCCCATTAAATCCCCTTTGGGGGCTGGGAAGGAGGGAGATTGGGGGATTTTTTTGGTGATTTTGAATGTTCGATGGATAATGGATGATAAATGCTGGATGATTAGATATACTCGAGTAAGATACATAAGTATAGCAATATACCCACCTACCATACCTACTCTAGACTCTTCGGACCAAAATTCTTTGTTGGGGGGCTTGCAATATTATTGCAATCTAACAGACAGTGAACTTAATCTGGGAGATTCAATTTATTTGGGAATGCCCCCCTCAAAAAAGGACACAATAATCAGACAAGAACACGATACGAATAAATTATTCAAGAATCAGAATCAATAAGAAAGAAAAACCCGGTTCTAGGGTTGGTTATAATATACCTAAACACCATGATGCTATACAGTGTAATGACCTATCGAGTCACGCCGCCTTCGCTAAAGGCATGATCTATCCAAACCAAAACAAAATTCAATGTGCCGCTTCGTTTCGTTTCAGTCATTCCCGTCCATCACTCTTTGCTATATGCAAAGATTTTTTTGCTCCTCTCCGTCGTCTGCTAATGTACCAACTACATAATGACACTTTCAACATGACTACCACTGGCCTCCGCCTCCGCCTCCTCACCATCCTCCTCATCTTCACTCTCCTCCTCTCCTCCCTCTACGGCCTCTACAATATTCCTCTCTCCAACCTTTAGCCTCCTTACCGCTCGCCGCAACCCCTCTAACGTCGCACGTTCTCTAATAAGCATTGACTTCGCCAGATCCTTCACAGCCTTCCTCCCCATCTTCTCATGCAAATCTTGCCAGCCAGCAAGTTCTGCTGCTACGACTTGTTGCGTATATCTCAATTCTCTTCCCGTTTCCTCGACTTCTTCTTTTGTCCTTCGTACTTTGTCTTCCTTTTCCTCGTTTAAGCGTTGGCGCGTGTCGTCGAGGAGACCTAGTGGCCAACGAGTTGATCGGGAAAGAGAGTTGTAGGATCTTTCAATTGATTTGCGAGATGTGGTGATCGAGGATATGAGCGAGGTGGGACGAGAGAGAGATAGGAGCATAGCGATTATGGTGCTGTGGATTGAAAGGATGGCGGTATGGAAAGTGGAATATGAGGAGGTAGAGGATGGAGCAAGTGTCTGGGTGTAGGCTTCTAGAGCGGAGATATGGGTTTGAGGGAGGAAGGGAAGAGTAGACATTGCGCGAGTAGAAAGCTTATAAGCATCGTAAAGATCTATGAATGTTAGCGACGTTTTGATATGAGAGTCAATTGAAAACATGCCTGTGGTAACAGTTGCCACCATATTGGCCCTACGTGCTACACTCTTGGTAGAGTAGTTGACACTTCGAACCATATCTCTTGCATGATCTACAAATTGCTCGACGTCACGGACATCGCCAATTGGCTGATACTCTTCTCGTACAGTTTCTACCCTTGCCTCAGCCTTCAGTTTAGACCTCTGTTCCATCATTTCTGCCTGTATATCTGGCACGAGAAAGAACTCCCACAACATTTCATGTGTTGAGAAGGTTGTGTGTGCTAGCAGAATCTTCAAAAATGCATCAAGATTGACTTGTATGTCTCTTAGAACAGCCCTTGAAGGCCTTGAAGGGAATTGAAAAGGTGACCTCATCCCTGATATAGATGGCAGCCATGAAGCTGGGTTTTCTAACGTTAGTAGTTTTGCCAAATGCTCAAATTCGGTCAATGAACGTCGACAAGTAGTTACAGTAAAGCTTTGTTGCGCGGAGGGTGCCCCGGATTTGAGTACTAGTCGAATAGTTGCATCCTCAACGAAGAATGATCTGACTACAGCCGTAATTCTGCCATCAGCAGCTGGCAGCCCTGAAAATAATATTAAATCGTCAATTCTATTCCGTACGTCATCGTCTTTAGCAAGCTCAACCGCTGTCAAGCCACGAAGTTCCTTGGCAAAAAGGTCTACTCTTGGGTCCCCAAATAGAACTCGAACCATTTCTAGTCGGCCATATTTGCTAGCTACCATGAGTGGTGTGAACTTCTTATCGTTCGTCGCATTAACATCGGAGTCGCAATGAAGAAGAAGCTGCAACGCTATTTGAGGATCGTTGACAATATGTAATAATGTGTTACCTTTCAAGTCGACATGATCGTCTAAATGTAAAAGTTGGTTGTCTCCCTGAGAAGTCGCAGCTGCAGCAAGTGCTGACTCTACCATGGGTCTATAGCGTCCATGGTCGTATGATCTGCATGAGGCAAAAAGTGGCGTTTGACCATTTTTATCTTTCTGCCTCCAAGGTAATAGACGCCCGACTGTCGAAATAAGCTCCGGATAGTTGAACAAAAAATGAGCTACACTCCTGCCGTTGATATCCTGTCGCGAAAGATATCCAATGACGATCAATTCTGATGCAGCTCGATAAACAAAATCTAGTATTATATTAATGAGTTCGGTATGTCCCAATTGCACAGCAGCACTCAATAAAGTTGTACCCTCATTATTCGTATCTTCAAGAATCGCTCGTAGCGGATAGTAGTCATGTAACGACAAAAGATACTGAAGTGCCTCCGGTCTCTCATGTTGAACGGCCATCATAAGAACAGATTCACCGGATGAATCTTCAGTTTGCGACAATCGTGCGATTGAGGTATCACCTTCGATGCCGCTACTTGTAGAGTCAATCGTAGTAGCTCGTGACCTGAAAGACATCTCGGAGCTGCTAGATAAGCTTCGTACATCCATAGTAACTGTTTTAGGCCTCCGTAGTGGCGGTAATCGCTCTTCATCTGCACCGTCATGTGAATATTGCCAAGGGAAGACATGAGTGAGAGTAGATGCTTGCGAAAGCCGGGTTGCAGCTCCAGAAGATCTCCGTCTGGCATGTCCATTCGAAGTATTCCATGGCCTATTTTCATCGATCATGTCGTCTACGATAGCTTCCTCGTGGTCAGACTCTTCTTCGTCCGAGGAGAGCTCTCGTTCGGGCTCCATGATCTTCATCATCTCTTTTAAGTCTCCTTTCTTAGTCGCTGCCCATAGCTTGTGGTTCCGCCGACTAGCTTTCCGAAGACCTCCTGAGTCCCTTGCAAGGTACGATAAGACAGCTTCAAACGTGCTTAGCGCATATCCCATCTCACCACTTTCCACGTCATCAACGAAAATGAAGTGGCGCATATATAAAAGACGAGCCTGGAGATGCCTAACTTGCGCTCTTATAACCACGACTAGCAGTAATGAGACAAGAGTGTCGGCATTGATAGTCAAGACAGAGCTCACTTTCTCGGAAGAAGAGGGTCCCTCCATGCTTGTTGGAATCGCAATCAGCTGCGTCACTGTTTTCAACGTTAGTAGTAAAATGTCCATCATCTGCTGTGGGCTTCCTGACACACTCAATTTCCGGAATTCTTCGACAGCACGGCCAAGGCGCAATGTGAGCTCTTGCTTTCCTTGATGGCCACCCTGAATTGGTATACCAACCTGTGAAATATCTACAAATTCCATTTGTCTGATTTTTGATTCCAGTTCCAAGTCCTCAGGGCGTTTCATTGTGCATAGTCTCGGGAATAAGATGGTATCGTGCAATTGCTCGGTGACATAACGATCAATCAAACGTTCCACAATTGGACCTGTAAGATCGGTCGTAGCTCCAAGAAGGGAAAGTTGCTGCTTATCGACCATCTGGAAAAGATCAATCGCAGATGTGACCGCGGTCTCCAAGGCTCCCCGCATGACATTCTCATCATCCTCGGTATAGAAATCCACAATATAACGTTGCACATGGCCATTTGGTCGGGCAGCCGTCGAAAAACTATTAGACCGCGCTTTCTTCATCGCTGTAGCTATGGGCCCATCCGGTACAGGATCCGGAATGTTCGCAGCTGATGGCGGAGGTGGTAATTGCTTTTCAAATACTTGGTTGAACTCCTTAAATAAAGCCTCCAAGCCGGGTTGCATTTGTCTCGCAATCATTGGGAAATTCGTTAGAAGGTCGCTGAAACTTTTGATATCCTTTTTGCGAGGGAGTCCATTCATAGAGGTGGAATCGGGTATTGAAGGCGATCTGGATGGGAGAATTGGCCTGCCATCCGATAGCCTTGGGGCTAGCAATGCAGTGGTAATTTTAATTTCTTCGTATATGCCAACCAGAGGTCTCGATATGTAGTAGACAAGCCATTGGCGTGGCTCGAGCGAATCTGGGTACCATAAAGTATCTGATAAAAGTTGCGCTTGGTTCAAGGTCTTGAATCCTGCAATAGGTAATATTAGCACCAGCCCCCAGCAAAATAACAAAAAACACCAACCTTTATTACTATAGACATAAGCATCTTTGATCACGACTGTCCTTCCATTAACTGTTGTATATTGTTTCGCCTTTCCCCGGTTCTCCCGCATATTTGGCGCATCCTTCCCCCCCGCGGTCGCAGCATGGCTGGCCGGTATTCGCAAGACATGACTGCCCAGGAAATCTTCCGATCCTGCAAGGTCCGCGTAAAGCGCGCCGGTCTCTCGATCGCGGGAGGTTAGGAGAACTTCGGTAGTAGGTACGAGTAATATCTAGAAAGCTGTCAGCTTCATGCCCAATGCTATCCGTCGAAGATGGAGGCCTTGTATTGTTGGCAAGCTTACATGATGGTGTACCGGCGTACACTGTGTAGGCAGAGCACTCTTGAAGAAAGCACTCAGGAAAGGATTCAAGGGCTGCATTCATTCGACTTTCATTACCCCAAAGATATAACTGCACCGCAGGGTGTCAGTCCTTGCAACGCGAATAATCAGATGCCTTTTATCGTAACGTTGTAAGCTTCGTAGGTAGGTTGGGTTGCGCCTGGTATGATTCCCGAGCTTCAAGATGAATGAGATGGATCAATGTAAACGAAACATTGGCTAAATACTAATGTTGTTTTGGTGAATCAGTCTTTTGAAAGTCAAAGTCAAACTTCAGAATATATGAGATCAGATTCAAGGAATCTTGGTAAGGCAGGCTGATTCTACCCTTCAGTCTTGTTCGCTCGTACCTTGGATGCGATCCTAGTTCAAAGTTAGAATACTGGCATCCATAAGCCCACTTGGTGCACCTAAGCAATCACATGCATTTAACAGGGGTGTACTTGTTATTCAATGAAGCTTCTCGATCATGTGACTCGTACGCTTTCATATTTTTTTAGAATAGATAGAATATAATTTTTCTTATTGATTGAAATACTACGGAGTAATGATCTGTTGATAAAACCATGCAAGGCTATTCAAGAAGTCCTACTCTCTCTCGGAGGCCTTTCGGAGGTTGGAGATATAAGGTTGGTTAATGAGTAGCGAGTTGGGGGGAGGGGTAGAGGACTAGTCGCTTTACGATTACTACTTAAGTACCGTCTTCAGCTAAGATATTCGTGCTTGTAAGTCATATTCCGAACAAGAAATCTGAGATAGTAATATTAGCTGCCTTATAGTATATTGGGTCGAAGGCCGACTACTAATTAGTGGTCAAGGCCAAAATGACAAAGATACCATACCCTTCCTCCTTTCCATGAATCTTGTCCCTGCTCTCAATTGACTCTCTACTCGACGCATATTGGACACGAAAGAGGACTCATGTTACCCATTCCATGTCGCAAGTTTGACCATATTCGGAGAAGTCGCTCCCAAAACTCACTTGTCGATAGCAGCATCGAGTCCCTGTTTAAGATCTTCGAAGGCTGCCATTATGATAGGGGTGCAAGTGCTCTGAGCTCGAGGGTATAACTATGCTCTCGAGGATATATTAGGTCCACAGCACAATCAACGTCAAGTGCACTCTCAACAAGACTGACTTACGGCTTGTCAAGATACTTCAACTATCTTAGCGGTACCTTCTCGTCCATAGTATAACTTCCACCAAGGCCTAAACTTGTGGCTCCTTGCTTCCAGTCTCGATTTAGTGGAGTAAGAACTCAGCAGCGGCATTTTGTGTGTAGTTGTGCTCCGCTATAGTACTAGGTTGAAAAGAGCAATAGGGAAAAGGAGGACCTAACAGTGTTCAACGATATGTATAGTGGTCAACTCAGGATTGAATTGAAGACCTTGAGGAATGGAGAAGATATTGGAATTATATCTAATACATGTACTCAAGTATACTGCTAACAGATGCGGCGATGGCATGCCTTTGTGTGTATCAGCCGGCAAACCTAATCAGTGTTCCAAGATGCTGTAAACTCCCTATGGAGAAAGAAGGTTTATCAAATATCGATACTACATCTTCCTATACCAAGGTCATGTCTTCGCTGAATATATCAACACTTTGACCCCCATTCTTTTACTTACTTTTACTACAATAGTAGTTAGTATAGCCTACCGGTACACTATAGACTGAATCTATCTAGAATATCTTCCAAACTAAATCTAATCGGTAAGAACCCTTAAGACTCCTCTTGAGGGATGTATAACCCTCGATAAAACAGTTAAATGTACTCTAATAATACTTTCATAATTCAAATGATTCATATCGTTTCGAAAATGTACTTGTAATACATAGAAGGTGGGATAGGGACGTGCATGAGATAGGGGATCGAGCTTTCCCCACACTTCGGAATGCTAGAGTTACCGTGTTCCCTATTTGGGTAAAGTACATAACTATATGCCAGCAGTGCAACTTCTCTACGTGGATTGTATATCATTCTTTGCTCTTGTAAACCGAAGATTATTACTTGTTTTCACTACCTCCTCAAACTCGGCAATGATCAGGAAAGTGACGAAAAAACGTGTTCTCTGCGGCTATGGAGTCGACATTGATGCCGTAGCAGGATGGCTAGGCTCTTATGGTGGAGAAGACTCGACGTCGGATATCAGTAGAGGTTTGTTGCTCAACTTTACTGTACATATCCGGCTTCACGTTGATAACAATGTTATACAGGACTATTCGCTGGTACAATTGGTGTTCGTCGTCTCCTCAAGCTTTTTGAGAAGAACAATATGAAGGCTACTTGGTTTATACCGGGACATTCCCTTGAGACCTTTCCTGAAGAATGTGCTATGGTTCGTGATGCGGGACATGAGATTGGCCTCCATGGATACTCCCATGAAAATCCTGTTGATATGACGCTTGAACAGCAACGAGATGTGCTTGATAAGACCTACAGGTTGTTGACGGATTTCTGTGGGAAACCTCCGAGGGGAAGTACAGCTCCTTGGTGGGAGACAAGTAAAGAAGGGGCGGAACTTCTGTTGAGCTATGGTATCGAATATGATCATAGTATGAGCCATGACGATTGTCAAATGTATTGGTTGAGGCTCGGAGATACTTGGACAAAGATTGATTATAGTAAGAAGGCAGAAGAGTGGATGAAGCCGCTTGTCAAGGGTGTACCATCTGGTATTGTGGAAATTCCAGCTTCATGGTACATCGACGATCTACCTCCCATGATGTTTATCAAAAAATCTCCTAATAGCCATGGATGGGTGGACCCAAAAGTCGTGGAGCAGATGTGGCTAGATCATTTCGACTACTTTTACGAGAACTACGATGAATTTGTGTTCCCTATGACTATTCATCCTGATGTCTCAGGACGGCCACATGCTCTGAAGATGCAACAAAGGTATGTTATGACTTCTGTTTATGTTATCCGGGAATCCAAATGCCATTTGGGAGCATTGAAAAGTCTCATCTTGCCGAACTATCAAACCTTATGCATTAGGCAACGAACTAACCAAATTCAGGATCATTGATCATATCAACAAACATGATGGGGTTGAATGGGTCACATTTGAGCAAATGTCTGATGAATTCAAAAGCAAAAATAAACCCGAAGCAGGTGCAATGATGCCAGCACCCCCAGGAGAAATTTTAAAGAGATCAGAAAAGTGTGAAGAGAGCTGAGGCAGGACGTGAGATGTTCGGGTGGCGCGAGGGTCTGCGAGATATTGAGAGAAGATGTCGTCTTTCTGGATATAGTTCTGGCGCTTGCATACCGCCTTGTGAATTGGTCAATTCTAGGTTTGACAATCTATACCTACAAATAATACTCCAATTCCGTGCGAAAAGCAAGTGCATAGCTGATCTCCCACACAAACTCTAACGATATCATTCAACAAAGGAACCTTCCTCCACAAACACATCAAACTTTTGTGTACAACAACAGCAAGATGACATCCCCTTTATCGCTTCACTGGCCCAAGATTTCGATTCTCAATTACACTCAATTACTTCGTAGCTGCTGCTTGCTAAAGACGTTTTAAACCTCAGATTAACAGAGACTACTATAGCATTTCTATCTAATTGGGAGCTGTATCCCCAGGTGCACCAAACAGCAAAGTATACTCTCTCTCAAAGTTGCGCTTGCCGTACTATTCTCCACGTAATGTGTTCCCATTCTTCAAATGCGCTCCTTTGAATCTCGCTTACTATTGGTTTTGATCTAGTCATCTTCCAGTCCGCAATCTTTTCGATCAAAGAAGTTAGTTTCCCGTAGTTTTGGTCTCCATAAGCTATTCAAACTTACGGAAGCAAACTTAAAGTTTTCGGTCATGTTACATTATTCAATATATTAATTCTGAATCGATCAGCATTCCCAATAATCAGGTCACAGACAGAGAAAAAGATAACTTGAGAGCCTCAGGTCTAGCCAACTGTATCCAACTGCATAGTCCTCATTCCTCTTCCTCCCTGTATCCTCAAATCAGGCTTGGAAACCGAATGTGTAACTTTTTACAAAACTAAGATGCAGATAAGAAGTAGCGCCCTATAAAGTCAGAAGTCATGCAGTATTATGCTGAGGAAGTGATTATGTATGGTGTGCTTCCAAAACTTTACCAAATTCTTCAGCGAGAAACGAGAAACGAGAGACGAGAAAGGTCTTCCAGGTGAACAGATAGTCCTGTCCTTTTAGCAAAACAAGGTGAAAGTAGCTACAAGGGATCATATTGAAAAATCGAAGTGTACAGGTTATGTACAGTATGATATGCAGGAAAAGGAGGAAAAGGAGGAAATTAACGGAATGAGATGATGAGATGATGAATACAGAAGGCCATGGGCAGGTGGTATCATCATGTGTTGGTAATTTGGGGACCGGCGGCATACAAAGTACGGCAGCAATGCCGAATGCCTTGTGAGTAGTGAGCACTAGAAGAAAGTTTTGAAAATTGGAACGTGATGGTAGGAAAACCGCACACAATGGACGTCAAATGGTTTTTGATGGTTTCATTACCTTTGTAGCTACATAATAGTTTATTGTTTGTTGTGTGGAAATGTGCAGAAGTATGCAAGTCTCCATGGAAGCATCTAGCGTGTAGATAGCTTTGTCAATTGTTTGAAGTAAAACATTGTCTGTAATGGAAACTGTAAAAAGGGCAATATAAATTGTTCACTTGCGCCAAAGTCACTCTCTTTTTAAAGTGAACAAAACACCAAGTGTCCCTCAATTTCAGATTAAATTTACACTATCACCTTTTAGATCGCAGACTCAAGGCGATGATCAGAATGTCCGTCAGCAGTAAGAACAACTCAAACACAATGGCAGGCCAAACAGAAGATTCTCTTTACACCCCGGGACCATCGAACTCCCACAAAAAAAGCACAGTTATCGGTATCTATGGAATATCTGGATGCGGCAAATCATACATCTTGAAACAAATGAGAAAAGAATTCGAGAATGAAAAAGGGTTCATCTTTTATGAAGGCTCCGAAGTAATCGATGAATGTACCCCTGGTGGTCTGGAGGCCTTCAAGACCATGGGAACAGAGCTGCAGAAACACTATCAAAAGACTGCTATCCAAAAGATTGGGGATCAGTCGACCGAGCTGGGATGTGTTGCAATTGTTGCGGGTCACTTTATGTTTTGGGAGGAGGGTGGAACAAATCAGCCTGTACTCGTGTGGAACTCTGCGGATGCGGAAGTCTATACACACATAATCTATCTCAAAGTACCTGCCGCGATTGTTCAGCAAAATCGTCTAAAGGACAAGGAGAGAAAACGTTCGCAAGCATCGGTTCAACATCTCAATAAGTGGCAGGAGAAAGAGATGTTCGGATTGCGCGAAACTTGCTATCAGAACGCCATTTTAATTACCTGCGTAGGAGCGTTGGACCAGGTGTCGAAACTTGTGTTGAATTTCCGACATGACAGCGAGTCAAACAATCTTGTTCTTGCCAATACCATGCTAACCCGCCAAGTTCTATCTGCAGACGCCGAGCAAGATTGGCCCGAAACCATGCTAGTCATGGATGGCGATAGAACTTTGGTGGCCGAGGACACTGGCGCATTGTTCTGGCAGATATGGATTGCAAGGCATAAGTCGGATGCTGCAGAGTATCAAGATCCGTTGAGAACATTGTTCAGCAGCAAACTAGGTTATTCCTACACAGCATTTCGGCAAGCCGCTCTTATTTATGAAGAGTTGACGGATGATGCAGAATTTGACGATATCTGCCAAGAAGTAGCTTCGATTGTGAACATACACCCAGAATTTGTGTCTCTGCTACAATCAGTAGCGAAAGAGAAGCATATCGGCTCAGTGATTATCAGTTGTGGCCTGCGCCGTGTATGGGAGAAGATTCTAGAGAAAGAAGGCCTATCCAAATCCGTCAGGGTCATCGGGGGAGGGCGTGTCGCGGATGGAAATTATGGAATCGTTGTTACAGCTGAGGTGAAAGCTGCCTTGGTCAAGCGTCTGCGAGAAAACCCCAAGACGTATGTTTGGGCCTTCGGAGATAGTGTTCTGGACTTGGGTATGCTCAAAGCGGCAAACAAAGCGATCGTGGTGGTTGGCGAAGTGCATAAGAGGAGCAAGAAGGTGGAAGCAGAGTTGCTGAAGGCCATCGATAACGACGGTCTTCGGGCATCCCAGGTCATGCTTCCAGAAAATGAATCACCACGACTGAACACTGAAAAACTTCCCTTGATCAAGCTTACCGATCAAAAGTTTTTGGAGGCAATTTTTCACCACGAAGGTCGATCTGGAAAGCTCCCAGTCTTTGATGCAACGAACAAGAACGCCGCAAAGCTGCTGATGACACCCACACGCGATGCAACGAACCAAGGTCCAGCTCTAAGAGACCATCATCGCAGCATTGGCCGTTATTTGGCGATTGAGTTCATGTCTGAAGTTATAGGCGTCGAGTCATTCGATATACCCCACGTTCAAGGCCACCAGACAAGCGGCCATCGACTGTTGCACGAGAGTCAAACATTAATAGTAGCATTGATGCGGGGCGGAGAGCCCATGGCCCTCGGTATCAATGATGCTTTCCCCCTGGCCATGTTCCTCCACGCACATGATCCCGAGGACGTCATGGCCAAGCATCTTCAAGGTCAGAGCACGATCGTATTGGTAGATTCCGTCATCAATAACGGCAAGACGATCACTGATTTTGTGCAACACATTCGTAAGTTGAATGCGATTGTTCGCATCGTCATCGTGGCTGGCGTTGTCCAGGCCCAGTCTATCGCCGAGGGAACTGGAATCCTTGCAAGCACGCTCGTTCAACACGGGAATTGCAGCATTGTTGCACTTCGCATCTCCGATAACAAGTTCACGGGCAAAGGTGTTACGGATACGGGCGATCGTTTGTTTAACACGACGCATCTGATCTGAACCGTGGTCGGAGTTAGAACTAGAGATGCCAAGCGTGGGTCTTCTATGACATTGAGGTCTTAAGAGAAAGTAGAATAGTGTATCAATTTCTAAATGTCGATTTGCAATGAGAACTTTTGACTATTGATTGTCACCGAAATAGAAGTGAAGATGGATTTTAGATGTGTAAAACAAAACCAGCTGGGTTGAGATTGGCTTTTCGCTATGTAATCCTACTAGAGAGCAAGGAAACGACCTGTTGATGATGAACTTCTTCAAATGGCATACGTGATACTGCAGTATGACTCTGACTTTTTGCCCACACTCGTGCACATTGCCGACATACATACCTGGGTACGATTTTTGATGAGTGAGGACCACTTGGGATATGTGCCCGATACAGAGATTCCCATCTAAATAGAAGATACCTAGTACCTAGTACGTTTGGAGGAAGGTTTTTGCGTATACTCGTAGCAAAGAGATGAGTGCAGATCATTCAGATAGATGGCCATAGGTTGGAAAGTATACAATTGACAGTTTGCAATGAGATATTATTACCATCAGTTCTCATCAATCAAGAATTATACTCGACGTCTCCAGGGAACCCGTTTGGTCATATTTAAAATGTCATGATTGTCTATAATTACAAGTCTCGCCGTGCAAGCTATGCCAAACGCCACTAACAGAGCCACACTATGCGTAGAAGTTGACAGTGTCTGCAAAGAGTCAGTATTGGAGCAAAAACATTACAATAAAGTGATAGAAACATACCCTTCTTCTTGGCTTGAACCTCCGCAATGGCATCAACATAATGTTCGTGGCTTATCTTGTTCTTTCCCATTCTAAGAGCAATCATACCAGCTTCCACACATACCGCCTTTAACTGAGCTCCACCAAACTCGTCTGTACTTCGAGCCAATTCGGGCCAGTTGACAGCATCATCAACAGTCATTTTACGGCTGTGAATCTTTAAAATCTGGGCGCGAGCTTCTTCGTTTGGTAGAGGGAATTCAATCTTTCGATCTAGACGACCAGAACGAAGTAGGGCAGGATCGAGAACATCAACTCTGTTGGTTGCTGCCAACACCTTAATACGATCATCCGAGGCGAATCCATCGAGTTGATTCAGTAGCTCCAACATAGTTCTTTGTACCTCACGATCTCCACTCTTCGAACTATCGAAACGCTTTGTACCGATAGCATCCAATTCATCGATGAAGATGATTGCTGGTGCCTTCTCCTTGGCCAATGCAAAACAATCCCGTACTAGCTTTGCACCGTCACCAATGAACATTTGTACGAGTTGAGGACCGGCGAGTTTGAGAAAGGTTGCATCTGTTTGTGCGGCGCAAGCTCTTGCGAGGAGTGTTTTTCCAGTGCCGGGAGGACCATACATAAGAGCACCTATAAATGTTAGAACAATTATTTCCATGTAGAATTTACAAATAACAAACCTTTGGGCGCCTTGATACCAATTTTCTTGAAGCGATCAGCTTCCTTCATCGGCCATACAATTGCTTCAACCAATTCCTCAATCTGCTTATCCAAACCTCCTACATCTGTGTACTTTTCCGTAGGTTTCTCATCAACTTCCATTGCCTTAACTCTGCTATCATATTCCGCAGGTAATGTATCCAGTACGAGATATGAATCCTTATTGACACCAATCAAATCACCTGGTTTCAACTCGTCTGGATCTACCAGACCGATTAATGGCAGGAATATGGTTTGTCGAGTAGAAGTCTTGATAACGGCGGATTTTCCAACTCTAGTAGCATCGAGGTCGATATTTGCGCCTTCTTCAGTAGATTCGGCTGTTGGGTCCAGATCGAGTAACTCAACAACATTTCCAACCAGGTATGGTAATTGTCTGCAGAAGGTTAGTGGATCAACCGATGATAAAACTTGTCTTTATAACAGCTGGACCTACTTGTTATTTGCGATCTTTTCAAGATTATCCTTGATCTTCTCCCCCATTGTAGCCTTCTCGTGTGATAATCGTTGAAACTCGCTCTTCATAATTCGGGAATCATTCTCTAAAAGTCGTTTTCTCGTGAGAATTTCTTGTGTGCCCAAGTTGTAGATCTCTTCATCTATGGGATCCTCTGGTTTTTCAGGTTCCGCATCTTTCATTTCAGCATCGCCGTCATTAGTTTGATCTGGCTTCTTGTCCTTGTCGCCATCGTCCTTCTTCTCCTCCTTCTGCTCTCTCTCGAGATCCTCGAGATCTTCTAATGTAGACATTTTAAAGTTGGAGATATTATTGAGAAGTTCGAAAGATGTTTGTGAGGTGAAGTTTATTGAAGATTGCGATGGGATGGAATAACAGTAGACGTTATTGACTTTTGAATGTTGTTTGAATACCTCCAAAGTGACCTGAACTGACTGACCTGACCTGGAGCGAGCTACGGGCGCGATCCATTCATTAGCGAACAACTTAATACTGTAAGGCAACCAAAAGAAGGCGCGGCTCAAGGCTGACAAAATAAAATAAAAGGTGAATGGATCACGTGATATCTCTAATGCGGTTGGCCCATTCTTTGTTATTATGACATTCCTAAGAATCTTCTTCTCCCTCTTTCAACTTCAACTTCAACCACAACCTCTTCGATAACCACCACCGCTCGCTCGCTCATCAACAGAAGACTGTAACGTTATCGTTCTAAAACATTCACAAAGTTGCCGGTCATCTTTCCAACGATAATTTTGACAGCTTCCAATAACGATTTTGATATATTATTCACGGACGCCTTTACTGGTCATCTGTTCTGCGAAAAATCTTCAATTACGTCGACGAAAGCAGCAAGCGTACCTCCCACCTCACAATCTTCTCCCTTCGACTCTTAATATATTCGACTTGAAGTTCAACTTGAGACCGCGATCGCACATACAGTCGAACTACATCCTTCTGCAGAGACGATAATCGCGTTCTCGACAAGTCTTCGATGTTGCGAAAGCAATTGACATTAAAATCTGGTTGATTTACAAGTATTCGCCACAACCGGTGTCTTCATACCGTTTTCTATTTACTAGACAAATCCACCATCATTACAATAGTCACCACAAGCTTCTTCTCGTACCGCTTTCTATTTACTAGACAAATCCACCATCACTACAACAGTCACCATAAGCTTCTTCTCCGTACCGCTTTTTGATTCACTAGACAAATCCGCCAACAAAGCACATATTTTGTCTCCTTTCTCGATTGTTCCTTTACCATCAGTTTAACTGGTTTTGAGGATCTTATATCAAGTGATTAAACACCGTCATCGGACTTATTCCGATTCACTAACTTAACCTAATTCCCCACAATACCGCCAAACTGCATTCTCCGCTTTTCATCAAGCTTTCAACCACAATCCTTTGTGATAAACCTACCAGGGATATCAGAACTCGTCTCGCTGTCACGCACAAAAGAATAAAGGTCTGTCGCAAGCCAAAAAAACGTCCCGTCTTCGACAAACTCAATAACATCTATCGACCAAAACCATACAAACCAAAGATGATGGCCCCACCGCCAATTGATAAAGCTACAGAATGGACTCAGAATCTGAATGTCACGGTTATGTGTAAGGACTGCAAGGAGATTCCACCAAATCTCGTTGAAGAGTTCTCTTCCGGAGACTTGGTCTGCGATACCTGTGGGGTAGTTATTGGTGATCGAATTGTCGATACCCGTTCTGAATGGCGTACATTCTCCAACGATGACCAAGGAAACGACGATCCGTCCCGTGTTGGTGACGCTGCTAACCCACTCTTGAACGGCTCTCAACTTTCCACTACAATCGCATTTGGTGATAGTAGCGTACGTAGTCGGGAGCTCTACCGTGCTCAAGGTAAGCAAGGTTCAGACAAATCGACTAAGGCTTTACTTGCCGCTTATAAGGAAATTGGCGCTCACTGCGATGCCGTCGACATTCCAAAAAACGTTTCCGATACCGCAAAGCACCTTTTCAAACTTGTCGACGATGCTAAAGCCTTCAAAGGTAAATCTCAAGAAGCCATCATCGCTGGCTGTATCTTTATCGCTTGCCGCCAGTGCGGTGTTCCCAGAACCTTCAGTGAAATTTTCGCCTTGACAAAAGTCTCGAAGAAGGATATTGGCAGAACTTTCAAGGCACTTGAGAAATTCTTTGCTTCGGATAGCTCAGCCAAGAAGGCTACTGCCGAAGCTACTGGTGGTAAGTTGTGTAAGCTAATTATATTATTAAAGGAATTTATTAACATTGCTTCAAGCTCTTGCGGCTCCAGATGGTTACCAGACAACTACGTCAACCAATGCCAAAGACCTATGTACTCGTTACTGCAGTCAACTTGGTCTTAAGAGCCAACAATTCGTCAAAGTATCTCAAGGTCTCGCTGAAAAGGTTTCTACCGTCGGTGATCTCGCTGGTAGATCTCCTTTGTCAGTTGCAGCCGCTTGCATCTATATGGCATCAGCCCTTCTCGGAAAACCAAAGTCTGCAAAGGATATATCCCAAGTAGCTGGCGTCAGTGATGGTACTATCCGTACGGCTTACAAATACTTGTATGCGGATCGAGAGAAACTCATCGAACCTGAGTGGATTGCTAATGGCAAGGGCAAAATGGATAACCTACCGGTCAGTTAAGTGGGTGATACCACAAGACCTATTGGCTGTCTCTTGCTGTGGGATCGGGATAATTGAGGCGAACCCAGGCGTAGCTAATGCTTCTTTTGCTTCATAATTGCGGAAGGGGTCGATACTTTGGCGTAATGGCCTGGTATTCGCCATATGGAGTTACAGTTACAGGGTGAGAATGGGCCTAAAATGACCTTGATTCTAGAGTTTGTGAGTTTGCTACTGGTCTAGAGAGATAAGTTTGACGCTCACCTTGAGAGGTGTTGCTATATGGACTATCTCAAAAAATGGTTTCGATTTAATAAGGCTTAGGTAGAATGCATATTTTCCAATAAACTTATGTCTCATGTGATTCCCTGTACCATCGTTTTATTATTGAGAATACTTGACATACATGCATTCAGATTAAACCTGCCCACATTCATGAAACATTGTCAATATATGCAATATAGAGAAAATGAGTATTGATATGATTGACACGTTATCTACATAGTAGGTACTTGAAGCTCAAAGTCAACATGTCATTTTGGTGCAGTATCAATATTTCTCCGAAGGTACCTCGGCATATGAGAAATGGCCGAAAGTGTGGGGGATCATGAATGGAATTCCGGGGTAACCTTATTAGTTAAAGCTCAGCTCCTGGTGCTCCTGGTGCTCCTCTCTTAATCTGATATTTTTCAATCTAGTTTTCAATTCTCAAAAATCAATTTAAAGTTCCATAACAATAGTCAAATCACTTTATACAATCATCAAAATGTCTGGTCCAGGAGCTGGTTTCGAATATCCCGCAGAGGAGGTTTCTTGGTTGACGAGAGATGTTCTGCTCTTTGCTTACAGCATTGGATGTACTAACGACGAGCTGCATTTCTTATACGTATGTCCCCGATATCTAATTGAGAATGGTACATTCTTATCAAGTCATAGGAATTACATCCCAACTTCGCCGTCTTTCCAACTTATCCCGTCCTTCTCCGTAAGGCCCCTCCCTGTTTCTCCTTCAATTTCCCTGACATCTCCAAGCATTCAAACGTACAACTCAAGAAGTAATCGACTTCTACGCCGCCTCATCCGCAACCCCCATACCCGGTGTGCCGAAATTTGACTACCGGCGTGTCCTCGATGGCGGACGTTCAATGACTTTCCTGAAAGTACTCCCGCCTACCTCCGCTGGCAAAACCTTCGAGCTCCGCTCGAAAGTTATCGGTGTATATGACAAAGGAAAATCGGGAACAGTCGTAGAAACACAGCAGGAGATTGTGGACAAGAAGAGTGGAGAGGTTTATACTAGGGCTGTTGGGAGTGCATTCTTTGTTGGTCAGGGTAATTGGAATGGGCCCAAGGGTCCGGCGACTCAGAATTTTCCTCCACCCGAGGGAAAGAAGCCAGATGCTATCATGGAACATCAGACAACCAAGGAGAGTGCCTTGCTGTATAGGTATTGTTCTTCTTTGCCACCGAATATTTGGGTGGGACCTCGGGCTAATGAATTATACTTTGCAGATTGAACGGTGATTACAATCCCCTACACGCAACGCTCGAGCCAGGGCAGAAGATGGGATTTGGAGGACCTATCATGCATGGGCTTTCATCATGGAATTTCACCGCTCATGCGCTCCTGAAAGCTATTGGTGGCAGTGACCCTAAGAACATCAAAGAATTTTCATGTCGATTTGCGTCACCTGTCAAACCAGGTGATAAATTAATCATCGAGATTTGGAAAACCGGGGAAATCAAAGAAGGGTGGGAAGAAATTCGCTTCATCACAAGAGTAGAAGGTGGAAAGGTATGTTTGAGTAATGGAAGGGCTTTGATGAAGGCCGTAGGTGGCAGTGCAAGTGCCGAAGATGGAAAGATGCTAGATCAGGGTATGGCGAGTATTAAGACAAATTCTGGTTCGAAGACTGGTGGGGCTGCGAACTCTCCTGGATCATCGGCTAGGGAAGAAAGTAAGGCTCAAAAGAGCAAGTTGTAGTGTATGTTAGGCTACTATAGACTTTTTATTTTCAATGTAAAGTGACTCTACAACCACACATCATACTCGAGTACATAAAACATGAACAGTATATGAACAGTATATGAATGATTTTTGAATATTATCCGAATACTGTCTGAACAATATATACGGTAGATGTATATCAAGATGTGATTAGATGTAAAGTGAAAAAGATTTTATCATCTACGATCAACTTCTTCAAACAAACATCCAGATATCCAATACGAATATCTAGACAAAACCTTTACAAGACATCTCTCAAAAGCTTTCTATCCTCACCAACAACCATCGCAAAAATGGCCTCAATATCATGGAATGAAAGCGAAACAGATTATTTAGTTCAGACGCTGAACCGCCTAGAACCTACATTAGCTCGGGGAGAATGCCTGTACAGCGATTATTTATATTTGCCCATCGTCCAAGCCATGTCAATGGAACTACCACGCCATCGACCCGGCGGCGTTCTCGCATACACCGATCCCTGGCCCACAACGCGAACCTAAACCGTAGCCATGTTGCGCGAGAATTGGATCTCCACTCGCCTACGCACAGCCCAAGCAGTAAATGCGGCTATGGCAGCGGCACTTCGGAGCGCACAGTGTCTCCATAGTCTCGAGGCGAGAGCCGCGGCTGCTGGGAATGCTTTGGCGCTGGCGGCCGTCCTGCATAATGCTCAAACTTTTGAAGAGGTTCGTTTCTTATGTCGGTATCATAATGTGGAGTTTGAATCGTTCCTGGAGGCTGAAGCTCCTCAAGATCAAGGAAATTTGTGCTGAGGGCTCAAGATGCAGATGCTCAACCTTTTTTTCTCTGGCGTATGTGATGTTGGCTTGAGAGGTCCTGTGAAATTATAGGTCGGCTGGATTCTTTCATATCTTATCAACAAACATATTGACAAATGTGACGTGTCTTTGAGGCTGGCGACCCTCAAAAAGATCGTTTCCTAAAAATTGTAAGTCGGCAGGATTTCCCATCTCATCAACTAAAAAATTGATACACATTTCTTTATATCAAAAAAGAAAGAAAAAGAAAAAGAAAGCTATTTTCCTAAAAATTGTACATCGGCAGGATTTCTTAATTCATCAATCAACAAATCGTCCCAAAAAATGGGCAAATATTTCTTAAAATTAAAACAACATTAAACCCTAAAATCTCTCGTCCTAATCTTTCTCTGTGATCTTTCTGTGTATGTGATGTCTTTGATAACGTAGAATAATGCTTTGTTATACGAGTAGGAATAAAGAATAAACCTATTCTTATCCTTGAAAGGAAGGTATGCACACTCAATACTGACTGATGGCTCCCTTTCTATCTCGCATACCTATTTCAACTCAACTCATGTTCATTATGCTCGCTGACTCGCTCGAGGCAATTTTCGATTATTCCACTTTCTTTTAATCATTGCATGGCGAGAAGGGCCACCACCAACCATACTTACCATACTTGGTTCAATCTCGAGAAGTTTGGAACTTTGAGGGTTTTTTTCAATTGATGGTAGACATATACGAGTATTCGAGTAAAGTACCGGTATTTCACAGAATTAATTCAAAAGGCAAAAAATATAGAGAAGATATCTCGTCTCGGCTAAACTCCTTCATCCGTACCCAAACCACCATATCCGACCCCCAATCGCAACAACTCCAAAACAACAACCTCCAACTTGCAAAAAGAATACGACCAAAGTGGGACTCGAACCCACAACCTTCACCTACTGGTGATATTGGAGACAATACCGGAAAGTGACACGCTGCCATTGCGCCATGTGGCCTTTTTGACTAACCTGGCGATGCTTTTGTTGTTATATACTCGAGTACTCGTGCCATTGGAAAGAAAGTAGGTATGTAATTCTGGATTAGGTAGGTGGTACGTGCCCTGTATTGATTTATTGATATGTAAAAGAAAGCTCGACGACCCCTTTGGATCAAGTCTCCTCTGTCAATTTACCTATACTGTATTAGCTACTCTAAACCCCACTTTCCCACATCCCAACTCACCGCCGCTCCATCTCCACTTCCTTCCCCCTCTCTTTTTCTCACCATCAAAAATCCAACCCAAAATTTAGATTTCAAAATCTAAAATGTCAAAAAGGAAAACGACGTCGGCATGATTCGAACATGCGCCCCCGAAAGGAATTGATATATAATTTATTTATTATCCTCTTCACGTGGAGAGAGAATAACTGAGAATTCGAGTCAATCACGTTAACCACTCCGTCACGACGCCTATCTGATGACTAATTCATAAAGTAGTTGAGGCTATTTTTATAACTATATAGCAAATCTCATACTTGAGTAGCCACGCAGACAATATTTTGATAGGGATGATCTTGCAAGCAAATATGTGCAGGAAAGGTTGGCCAATAACCTATCGCTCTTATGAATTAACATTTGTTTCTACAAAGCCTGATCAGAAGATACACTACATGGCGCAGAACAATACACTACTAGGCCTTCCCCCTCATCAGGCGGGAATGTCAGTGGCCTCGACAATCAACAATTATTATGATTTCAATAGTATTTATATATCGACGTCATTTGAAATTGTATCATCACCAAATGACTATTATCTTCTTAACCATTCTGTAAATCTTTTTTAAATTTTCTCTCTCTATAATCAGCTACAATAGGGTTGTCTGATAGTCTCAATTCTTGAATATATCTCAATTATTAAATTAGACTACTCGAGCATAAGAGCGGATATTGAACGTCAATCTCGGCTCCCCTTTTCACTGAAGAAGAGTCCATAACCAAGAAGGGAAAGTCAATTTATTGCATCTGAAATGGAAACAAATTGTGATACCATAGGAAAATCAAATAGAAATTCGTGAAGTGTTTTGTAATTGTCATGTACTGAGTAAAAACTCGTCTTATCGTATCTCATTCACTATTGTGCCATACACTACCAAACAAAACTCCATGCTTTTTCAACCTCTATTATACCAAACTATGCTTTTCCCACTCACTCCAGTTAACATTAACACAATACGCATCACATCATATCATACAGAAGATAAGTATCCCACCATCAACAAAAAGCGCCACAACACACACCCCACCCCATTCCCTCTAAATATCATGTCTAGCCCTCTTACTCGACTTCCTAATCCTCTCTCCCCAAATATACAAAATAAATGGAATGGGTATAAACGCCACACTAATAAAAGCCAACGTAGAACTAGCCCACGGCACCCCCAAATCCGTAAACATAGCATTAGCAAATAGCGGGAATCCAGCCCCGAAAGTCGATCGCAGAAAATCATTCCCTGCGTATGCTGAGGCTGCGTATACGGGGTAGGCGTCGCCGATGTAGTTTAGGACGGAATTGAAGAGGAGGAAGGCGCCGATGGAGAAGAAGGATGAGCCGATTATGGGGACGATCCACTAAATAGATAGGGTTGTGTTAGTTGTGTTGGTAGGAGGGGAAGAGAGAGAGATGGAAGAAAGGAGGAAGGAAGGAAAGAATAGAAGAGGAACATACGTGGATACTTGCTCTGCTAGTCCATCCAAACCAAAACAAACAGATAGGAATGCAAAACGCCCCCACAAATGCAGGTTGCAATCTAATCTCCGGTTTAATCTCGCCCTTTTCATTAAACTGCGGTTCTTGATATCGATGCAAATACCAGAAAAACGGCGGAATTACAACAAGCGACCCGACGAAAATCCCCAAGAAAGCCAAACCCTCTTTCCCCAAGCTAAAGCCATGAATCTCGACAAAGACAATGGCGAAGGATTCAAACCAAACGTAGAGAATACCGTAAATGAGTGCAATGTAGAGATTGAGACAGAAAAGAATGGGTTCCGTGAAGGTGAGTGAGAATGGTCGGATGAGAGCCATGTTGATTATATCTTGCCGCGTCATTTTATCGCCTTCGATTTCGGGTTCACATTTCAGATTGCTGACTTTGCTGAGTTTTGTGAGACGAGCTCGTCGGCGGTAAAGGATGTTGGCGGAGCTGGTTTCTGGGAGGAGGATGATTAGGACAATCATTGCGGCCCCTAGAGAGATGTTGTCAGTGTCAAACTTACAAGTACTCCTGTCACCAGGAAGTATGCAAATCGCTGCTAGTAGAAAGTTTTCCTTGTACTTTACCAACAAGTAGCACGTGCGTATTTGCATACTTCCTGGCGACACGAGTAATACACATCAAAATTTGTCAATAAATGTATGAACCTACCGGATAGCCATGTCAATTCCCAAATGGTCCAAGTCCACCCCTTACTCTCTGCTGCGAACCCGCCGATCAATGGACCAAGCACAGGTCCTATTCTAGTTAGCATCCAGATCCCAAACGAAGAGAATGGTAAAAGTATCAAGCACCCACCAGAGATTGCAGCCATTCCCCAAATTCCAATTGCATACGCCCTCTTCTTTGGCGAATACATATCACCCAACGACGCACCGCCAGTAGCTAGCACTGGCGAACCAAAGAAGCCAGTCAAGAATCGAAATATGAGCAACTGTGCGAAATTCCTCGCATATATGACACCGAATTGAAGGACCACGAAGACGATAAGCGTGCCAATGTAAACCGGATTTCGACCAATTTGAGGTATCTCACTCATGGGAGACCAAATCATGGGACCTATCCCATAACCAGCGACGAAGAGAGTAAGGCCGGCTGTGGCGGCGACTTGACCGACTCCGAATTGTCTCATTACATCTTGAATACCCGCCGAATATATGGCCGATCCGATGTAGACGGAGAACGTCAATAGACAGATTAGGAAAGTGACGAAGAACTTTTTTCCAGTCGACCAATTTTGTGGATCCTGTTGTGAATCGTCAGTCAATACCAAAATATGCATTCGAGACTCCAACTACATACCTCTGAATCAACCGCTCCATACGATTGATCCCAATCGATAACCCTAACATCTACACCTCCATTCTTCTCATTCACCGAGTCCTCCTTTGCCACTTTTGTGTGTTCCGAACTTTGCCTCGCAGTCGATAATCTCCTATCCCCATTACTTTCCTGCCCTTGATCTTGACCAACACCTGCACCATCATCCTCCTTATCTTTATCTTCTGACCCTTCCGGCTCCGGGTCATCGCAGCTACCATGATCTCTCGCATTCCACGTTTTGCGCTCATGAAGATACTGTCGCCAGAAATCCGGATCTGTTTTTTCCTGGTCCGCTGGCATACGTTCTTCCTCTGGATATTTCAAAACTCGGTTCCGCGTTACAAGACGTAGGACTTTTCCCAACGTCGCATCTCGGAGGAGTTCCTTCATCTTCTTCGTTTGCCTGCCAGATCCGTTGGTTTGGATGTTCCAATTGGGTCGGATATGTCGATGGATTTGAATATTCCACCTGATGGGGTTGAAGGTTGTATGCTCCAATTGAGTTGAATAGGAACTACCGTATCCGAATCAATATTCTCGTGATAAAATAATAAGGGTATCACTTATGATAACAAAACGACATCAATCAATGAATATGCCAAAATAAAAAGTAATAAATAATGAATTGATATATAAACAAAATGTATTAAAAAAACTGTCAAAAGGAATCAACAAAATATTAAAAGACCGAAGGCAAACTAATCGTCATATTTCCCCTCAAATTCCTTTCAGAATTCCCTTCCAAATACCATACCATACCATACCATCTTCTCGGTCTTTTCACAAAGCGTATATGATATCATATCATACCCACCATCAATCGATCAATACCAGCACTACAGTAGCTTCGCCCTTACCCAACACAGCACCACATAGACATCCAGTCTACCATCCACCGCTCGCAGATCCATCAAATCAAACTTGTTCCATGCTCTGACGGTATATCAGCTAGCAAGATGAATAAGTAAGCAAAGAAAGAAACTTCATATCAATGAACTCTCCGTCCATTCTCAGAAAGTCACCACACACAACAACAAACCTATTTCTCTCTCCACAGAGTATATTCATTCCTTAAAACCCCGAAATCCGAAAAGTCCATTCGGACAATAGTAACTTCACACAGTCCGGACACCGAAACCTGGATGAATAAATCATCCTGATAAAGTAATCATCAAGTAGACTGTGCGCACTGCGCAGGCAGCATCAAACAATTCCATACATCCATCGATAACACACTATTCTCTCGATAAGGGAAATCTTTTTTGACTCATGTGTGATCAAGACCTCATCAATCAATAAACGAACCAATGCTTAGAAAGCCTAATCACTGACGTAGACGACTTTTGTCCTCTTCGCTTTCTAATCTCTCTTTTGATTGGCTCGCTTAACCTCATGGGAAAGTCCTTAAGCCGTAAGGTTAAGGAAGTACGCACGTACCTTCTCGCTTGGCATATATTTCCTCCTCCTAACTCCTCTGTACTCACTCCAAGATTCCAGATCCCAGAATCCAATATCCAGGATGCCAGTCCAATCCAAATCCAAATCCAACCCATCCAACCCACCCAGCGCCAACCAATAACAACAATAACAACAACAGAGCAAAGTAAATATCTATCATTAACGACTACTAGTACCATACCCCCGCCCACAGCATAGCGCACATATCTATTCCATTCCATTCCCACGATATATATTCTCGCATACAACTATGATACAAGACATGACATGACATGACATGCACTAGGTAGCTCCTCCCTCCCTCGTCCCGCCCACCCAATTTATTGATATAAACCCCTAAATCCCTAAATGCATCTAGAACACTAGAACCCTAAAACTACATCTAATAGATCAAATCCCTCCTTTCCTCGCCCCCTCCCTCTCTCCCTTCCTCCCTCCCGAATACGATATAACCTGGACCAAAAAATTCGGCATGACTATTAAATTTTCAAATTTTCAAATTTTGATCATTTCCAACCATTTCTCACAATCAACCATTCACATCTCAATCTCAATCACAATCTCAAACAAAAACCTTCCAATAATCCATCCATCCATTTATTTATTTCACTCACTCATTATTCCATTTCACCACTACAATAATAGTCGAATAGTACCTTCGGTAACTATCCTTTCCCCCCTCCCCCCCATATACTGCAATATCATTTCAAAATTCGAGCACGAATTCTTCCTTTCTTTCTTTCTCATCAAACACATGTACGTATGAACAAGTAAAGAGTAAAGCGCAAGCACAAGCACGAGCGCGGTAGGTGAGAATTCCTTTCTTTCCTCTTCAATGAACATACCGTGCTATTCGTTCATCCACCCCGCCGTGATAATACAAAGGTGGTTCAAAAGAACTCAAATGGACCCGAAGAAGGAAGCCCAAAGAAACGCCAGGCATCAGAGTGCCACTCATTGGACGGATTGGCTCTTGCCTCTTTGCTCTTTGCTCAAGTAATGCCTTCTTTTCACCATCTCATCTCCCCGTTCCAACAAAGCAAGCTACTCTTCTCCTAACCATCCTCACATTCATTCCACCATCACAAATTCTTATCTCCATTCAATTTGACATCCAAAATCTTTTTCCCGCCCAAATCCTTGACCTTTTCGGCCAGCGTCTGCTTCTGTTCCAACTCCGCCACATCATCACCCCCTCCAATACTCACCCCATTAATCAACACATTTGGCACCGTTCTTCGTCCCGTTAGCTGCGCTAATCGCGCTTGTAATTTACCTCCGATGGGATGTTCATCGAGTTCGACCACGTAGGGAAGGGGATCGATGGTGTAATGTTCAAGGAGAATGGTTTTGGCGCGTTGGGAGTGTGGGCAGTAGGATTTGGAGAAGATGATTACTGTGGAACATGTTAGTTTATTGTGTTCTCAATCCCAGAGACGGTAGAAATAGACTCGGAATGGAGGATTGAAACATACTCGGCGACTTCTTCAAAATGGCATTCAACTCCGCCTTGACTTCTAAATCTTCCTTCGTCTCCTCGGCATCCTTCTCCTTAACTACCTCCTGCGCTCCCTTCTCCCCGCCAATTTTCTTCCTCCCCGCTACACTTCTCTCTCCAGTCTGCCCCTCCGCCGCGTTCCCTTTTCCTACAACCTGACTCGGCGGATCTGGTTTAAAAGCCTTCGCGTTCGCCTTATCCTTCGCCTTATCAGCTGCATCCTTCAACCTCTGTGCCATCTCTTTTGCTACCTTTTCATCCTCCTCATTTCTTCCATGTCCTGCCTCTGCCACCTCTTGTTTTCCCAATCCATTCATAGTCTTGGTATAGAAATCGCCTCCGCCGGCTACAACATTGCGTTGTTGACGGAGCGACGCCGTGTAGAATAGTAGAGAGACGACGGCGATGAAGACGAGTAGTCCGAAGATTTTTATTCGGCGCATGGATGCCATTTTGGGCGACTTCTTTTCCTTGTAATAAGGACCTGTGTAGTTTCAAAAATGATGATCAGTTTGCTGTTGATGATCGCTCGTAGAATATTTGATATGCGAAGAGCTCCTACTTACTAGCTTCGTAATACTTTCCCATTTCAACCGCAATTGCAATGAAGACCAATGAATTTGCGCGGTAATAGTAGGTACGTTAGAGCTTTCTTTCTTCACCTTCTTTTTCTCTCTCTTTTCCTTCCTTAACAGCACCGCAGAATTCGAATATTTTCTGAAAGGTGTATGTGTCTCGTATTTGGTCCAACCCTTCGCAGAAAGGCAGTACTATAAATCGTATCAAAACCAACTGTCAATTCCTGTTCAATCTGCCGGTAGTCTTTCGAACAAAGTGTATAATCCGAAGTTGTTTGTTCCGTCCTCAAATAGTATTTGTATCCGATAACTCACATCCAACGTTCCGATTCCACAAATATCGTCTATCGCGTCGTACTTATCGTTTCGTTCGATCCAGTTTTCCGTTTCAGTCCACTCACTCCCTTGCAATTCGTATTCCCCCAATCCCTTATCGTAGACCGCAGTATTAATCGCCTCGGTGTCAATTTCAATTTCAATCTCTCAAAACCCCAATATATTCAAGCAAAATCAATGTTGTATTGTATTGTATTGTATATGGAGAACAGAAAGGAACCAAAGGTCACACGATATCAATTATACAACCTTTCAAATCGTGGCTTGAACAATTACGAATCAAGATCAATCGATATTCAGTAAATAACGTTCTTATCTTAAAGAGGTTCTATCCGCCGCCGCTTTTTCTAGACCGTTGCTTCATTTGTAATACCTAAGTCTGTATTTCATACTAACACCGATCCAACAAAAGGCGCATCATATATTACCCCTGACTAAATATACTAAATGTATATATACAACAACTTAACCTAAATAGACCCACATCTACTCTGTATCTACTCGACTCTATCACCATTATCATCACAGCTTTCAAAATATTCCGGGATACACAATCTCAATTCGATGTAACGAGACGAATACATACCGTACATAGTCCCTAGTACCAATTACCATTTCACATCTAACTGAAAGCACCTACAAGTTCGTTCGTTCTACTCGAGTACACCATGAGGAGTAGGACAAGCGAGCTTTAAATTCATTTCTTGCCTTGTATATCACTATCACACCATCCATCCATCCATCGATTATCTATTTCGGGGTACGGTACTGTAACTGTAACTATAATACTCGAATATATTATAAGGGTATCATCTATTATTATATTCTTATTATGAATTAAGCTAAGTAGTGTATCTAAGGCATATTACATAGGTATGATAATCGTACAAGTCGTAACTAACAAACCCCCATCCATTCCATTTGGCTCCGGATCCCACAAAGTAAAGTACAAAGGAAAATATGCATGCGTGTGTGCAAATCTGCCAACCCATTAGATAGCGCCATCAAACTTTTATCTTCGCTTGATATTCTCTCTCCCTCCCCTTCACCCTATCATGAATCCCGTTCCGTTTCAAGAAAACCTTTCATCTGAAAGCTCCCACACTTGCCCTTTCCCTTAAACTTCTTTTCAACCCATCACCTCTCGTGGGTCCCGTGATCTCAATCCAATCCTCCCATTCTTGTGCGATTTCCATGAGCACACCACCCATCACTGTAGCCGAAGCCATTAATCCATGTCCTTCTCCTTCTAACACTCGTACTTCACATCTCTTCATCGTTTTCCCCAGCCATCGAACATTTTCGACAGGAACTCGTGTATCCTTACTTCCATGATGAATGACTGTCGAACGCGTGATATCAACATAACGAAACCCGATAGTATGTCTTCTCTCCAGACACACTAGTAAGTCCACCGCGGGATTTGCGCCAAGAGTAGCTAGGTCCCATATGGCATGTGTCAGACGTGTGTCGTAGCTCATTTGCCTTTCTTTATCGGCCAACGTACTCGCAGCTACTGCTAATATTGCGGCATCATGATTTGGATCATTTGGATCTCCTGCTGCTTGCTCTATTAATTCTGGCACCGTAGATTCTGGTCTTTTCGAAGCATCAAATTTTTGATTCTCCTTGTCTAGACCTGGGGTGAGTACCTTATTCCTACCGTTCGGTGTGGGAGTATCTCGAGTGGTACTTGCAGACTTGCGCTTATTTCTCTTTTGCTTTGGAAGACTACTGGTAACCGAGCTACTAGTAGCACTCATGAAGCTGGAGTTTGCGACCTTAAGAATTGTAGTGGGGAGCGCACGAAGAATGCGCTGAGATGTAGGGATAGAGTTTGCAGGTGGGGACACCGTCTGTGTACCAAATGTCGTCAATTGTGAAGGGGGAATCCAAGGGGCAAGAAGATGAACGCGGCCGCGTATATGCTGCGGCATACGTAGTGCTGTCGCAAGAGCATATATCGCACCTGCCGAATGTGCTAGTATAGAGAACTTTGTAACCCTCAGAGCTTGACAAATTGCGTATACGTCATCTATACCAGGTTAGCTTCGAAAATGTTAACAAGTCCATAAAACTTACCAGGCCAGCTTAGTGGAGTCGCTGTACCATCAGTATAGGGCTCACTTTGCCCAACGCCTGGTCTATCCGGTGTAATCAATCGTAACTTGAGTGCTAGGGCAAGTTCATCGTAAAAGGCGGTGATATATCTTGTTAATCCCATCCCAACACAACAGAAGACCGCTGAACCTTCTGGATCGCCTACTTCCGAGAATGAAATGGTTCGACCACTTTGAGGATGCCTGATTTTTTGTGAAAGGCGTGGGGAGGCAAGATAAGTTGTGACGGCATCATCAATGGAATCTGCACTGCTAGGGCGGGCATCGGTAAATACAGAACTAGGTCTCGGTTGATCGAGAGAAACAATTCGAGAGGTAGGTTTAGAAGAACTTTTCTTGGACGTATCGTTATCTGAATTGCCAGGGCTTAGAGGACCGGACAAACGCTTCAATCGTGAACTGCTTCGTCCTACTTTTATCTCAGGTGGTCCAGACAAAATCCCACCAGTTTGTCTTTTCTGGCTAGATGATCGTCTGGATTTGCTGGAATTGGGGTCAAGTGGTGACTCTCGTTGGTTGATAATGGGCGCAGGGGCACAATCAAGATCATCCTCAACAACTAGATGCTCATTGTTCTTTGCAGCCTCGAGATGCTTGCTGGCCAGCGCTGCAGATGCGAGAGATAAAGGGGGTTCCGAGCCTTCAGTGAAATCCTTGAGATTCGTATATTCCCCCGATTCAGTCGAGCTTTCCTGCCTCTGATCAGAGCCTTCATCGTGCTCATTGATGACATCCTTCTCTTTCTCACGCTCCATATCACTTTGTCGACTCGCTAACTTTGAATCGCGTTTCTTCGTTTGAGCGGCCGGTTTTCGAAGAGAGGAATCTCGCGCAGGAATAAATCTACCAGACCCAATGCCGCCGGGACTATTCGCCAGCGAGGGAGACCAACGGCAAGCAATGGGGGCTGTATTGGTAGTGTCGAGAGTAAGTATCGTATGTTTGCCTAGTGTGGGAGGTTCCTCGGTGATAGAAGTCTCCGCCATAAAAGATGGTTGATCAAAACTCTGTATGGCCAGACGATCAAGCCCAAGGCCCTTGAAATTTCCTGGTCCTGAGCGTTTCTTATCCGACGCGTTGTCTCTGAGTCTCTCTTTCGAACTCCTATACATCAATCCTTTATGATTTCGACCCTGTTTTTTGTCCCAGCTATCCGTTGATCTTTGACTTTCCAATTTCTGCGTTGGAGCGTAACCAGGCTCTATTGACAAGCTGCCGATTGTGCTCGAATCATCTTTTTCTTTCGAACCTTGTGAACCCTTCGAACCCGGTCGGCGCAGAAAGTTTTTAAGTGAATTGGATCTAGAATCTAGTGCTGGCGATTTTGGTGCAGTTAGTGGTGAAAATCCTGAAGGAGGTTTCGCCGTTTTAATAACAGGAGGACTCGCAGCCAATTCATCGAGAGATTCTTCCTCGATAAGTTCGCGCAATGAAGGTTGTCTGAAGGCCCCGTAATCTATGCCAAAACTTCCACCTAGATTCGACCTATTATATGATGGGCGCAAGTCTGAGTGGATAAAGGAACTGGTCGACGCAGCTGGTGAAACCGGTGTTGAGTGATTCTCGAAAAGTTCATGCACAGGAGAGGATATGATGGAAAGCGATGTAATTAAAGAAGATATGACCTCTGGGGATGCGGGTTGAACTGATATACGATTTGAGGAATATGCCGAAGGAGTTGAGAGAGTTTTTCGATGGGAATGTTGTCGTGATCGATATGGAATTGGTGGGGGGGTCTCCATGGCCGCTTTGTGTAAGGATTGGACGTTACCGCGCCTACTACCACTTACTACTATAAATGAACGAACGGTAGGTTTAAGATGATTTGATGCAAGCTGCAAGCATGCATTGACACAACCTTCAAAACCACCAAATAATTGAAGAAGAAGAATTGGATTGCTGTGAAATTGGATGATACTCTGTTCGCAATAACTGATTGGCAGAGAGATTAAGATGGTCCGAGAACGTAGAGTAGATGGAGTAAATGAGTAAATGAGTGTAAATGAATGCTGATCTGTTTGGATGGAGCGAGCACCTTTGGGTCAATATCCAAGAAATCCAAAACATGTACTCGAGTATCAAAGAGGTTATCCAAGCAAGTCAATGTGCGCACCCTTTTTTGAAGTTATAATACGAGACCCATTTGCAATTGGGACCTGTGCTATTGCCAAAGCTTGAGCAAAAAATAAAGAGAAAGAGAAAGAGAAAAAGAAAAAGAAAAAGCCCCTTGGCATCAATCTAATCAATTCAATTTTCAATCCAATTCAAAGACTCGAGTCGAACGGTAAACGGTTTTAGTGAATTGTTGCAAAGCTTATCACCTTTCCAAAAGGTTACTGTAACTCTATGCGGGGGGTCGTCCCAATGGGAATTTCAATGAACAGTGATAGGTTGAAGTTACTGTACAGATTCGACCTGCAAAATGCAATGCAGAGAGAGCATGGATCCCTTTCCCCGAATGCACTCGTGGAGAGATGTGATGAGTTTGGGTGGCCTTTGTGGACTCCGTGGACGACTTCGTGGGACGCGTTTGGTTTGTAACTTTTATTCTGGGTCGGCAAATTAATCTCGACAGGGCGGCCGGGAAGGGAAACGAAAGGAACCTGGTGTTGTCGTCCGGAGTTAGAATACTTCGAGAAGATTTCCCTTGGGACAGGTAAAAGACAAAAAGATGTGAAGAGGGGGGGAGAAGGGATTCGGTCTATTATATTGAATCCCCTTTATTGATATAGATGGATATTAACAATCACCGAGTCTCCGCAGAATTATGCCTTGTATGAATTGTGACAGCTTGTATCCAATAATTCCCGAATTCCATGTTTCTTTTTTATGGGAATCCGCTTCTTAAAGTTTCTGCTATTAGCGGCGGTGGATCTTGAGTTTCTTCTTTCTTCTATGAACTCGAGTATATCGTACCACATTTCATATAAATGAGTACTCGAGTAGAAAGGAAAGATCAAAAGGTGTCCCAAGTCCTAATAAGTCGGATTTGAAGAAGGGTCTCAAGTCCATCTCGACTAATTGAAGCGGCGGGTAATCTACCTGGGACCCCTGATCCAGTAGCGAAAGGCTATCATTAGTCGAGCATCCTCCACATGGAAAAGTGGACAGAAATCAAAAGATACGTCAGAATCATGACATCGTCACTACTAGGCGTTGATTTGATAACTTGAGCTATGGAGCGGGCCGTACGTTGGCACGTTGGACTACGGGTAGGTGAATCTCTTTCTATTCTCCACTATTTGAAAGTTTAATTTAGACACTTATATCTTCTGCACATCTTGACTGTTCCTAATCATACATCTTTTAAAGAAAGATTTGTGTAGACGATTCCACTATGGATGCTCTTCTATCGCTCCCAGCGGTGGGATACTTCCTCATGCCATCAGTATCAACATACTCTACATCCCTCAACTTCCTATTCTTCTACATGACATGGTCGACTCTCGTACTCTCACAGTCGTCTTTGAGGGTCGAGGTCGTGGGAACTCTAGGAATACGATTACTATTCTTTATAGTACCATCATTTCTATTTCTCCTCTTCGACACGGTCATGCCAAGCTTATCGATGGGAGTCAAGCGACAAGGAAAACAAGCCCTGCCTACTCGGACGGGAGGATCAAAAACATCTAAAGCAAAAATCCCGAAATGGTATAGGGTTGTGGGCATCAGTTTATTCAATATCTTGCTTGGGGTTGGCATTCAAGCGGGAATCGAAACACTCTTTACGGGAATCTTACACTACAAAAGTGCGCTACGGGTCACTACCAGGTTACCTATGCCATGGTCTCTAGCCAGGGACGTCGTGAAATGTCTTCTTGTTCGTGAGGTTAGTGACCGTCCGATGCACCTCTCATGCTGTACAGCTATGACTGATATATTATCTTTACAGGTTTTACAATATTACCCTCACCGTTATATTCTTCACGCTCGGTCTTCGAACCTCCTTAGTAGGGGTCACAAGACTTATTTCCACTCCATCACTTCTCCATATGCGTTCGTTGCTCATTACGATCACCCAGCTTCTTACATACTTTTCCGTTTTATTCCCATCTATCTTCCTGCAGTATTTTTCCGTGTTCACCTACTCACCTATCTCGTCGCTCTCTCAATCGTCACTCTTGAAGAAACACTCGCATGTTCGGGCTATACTAGCATCCCTGGGATCATACTCGGTGGCATCTCACGTCGTCAAGACCTCCATAGTGAAAGCTGCGGAAAGGGAAACTATGCGTCATGGGGTCTGTTGGACTGGATCCATGGAACCGGACCTGGATCCAAGGAAGATGTTGCGGACGAGGCAGCGAAACATCAAGTCAAGAGCCGAACTAGAAAAGCAATTTCTAATGGAAAGGAGATCTTGAAATCGTTGAGTGGGAGGAGAAAGAGTTCTAGGAAGAGTTGAGTTTGTTGTCTTTCGGTTGGGACAGGGTGTTATTGAATTTGGATGGACATTGGAGGTTTGGAACGCTTGGGTTCAAGTTGGGATACCCATAGGCCATTACCCTACGACTCTTGCTTTGTATCTTCTGTACATTGCTTATGAACCAATTCACATCACCAAATCTAAGGAGAATTTTCTACATGCGGAGTGTCCTACGGGACGGTGCTATGAACGAAGCAGGCACCCTCACGACGGATCAATGAATCCATCTCAGTCGATACCCTCCATTGTAGTCAAGCTTTGGTAAGAAGTGATCGTAACACTATTACAAACTCCTAAGTCCAGCAACTCATCGGCTATGGGGAGTAAAATAGGCAGAACTCCCGCTCTCTATCACATATAGGACTCAGGAGGTTTGAGTAATGTTCCCATCTCGATCTCCAAGGGATGAAAAAGCTTTTCAGGGCCTTACGGAGTCCTAAACTCAAAGAAAATCTACATAGCAAATCTATATCCGAGTCATCTTGGGCCATTGGGACTAAGCAAATGAAAAAAGGGCTAATTTCAGGAGTTCTTCGACAAAGAATCCTCAACCACCCGGTCCCGGCCTTCATACTTGACATGCCCATATTCAAACACCCACAACTTTCACAATAGTTGTAATTCCAGCTTTCTAACAACTGTTGTAACATTCCCAAGACTACATCTCTCTCCAAACCAATTTTCAGCACCAAAGACCCAAAACTCAAAATTGAGGTCAAGAGGGTCTGGTTCTCTCCATCCCTTCCTTCCATGAGATGAAAAAGGGCACCTCTCAGATGTGCAACAGTAAGTTGTTAAAAAGTGTTAGTCATGAGGCTCTGGTTTGGTTGGTTGATCGGTGATGGGAGAATATGGCTCCGAGGTCCGGAGTTGAGCCGAGGGGTTCTTGACCACCAAAAAGAATTTCTTGTTTGTCAAATATATACACAGTACAACATGACATGACATGACATGATATAATGTGTGAAATGGATTGTTTGGGTGGTGAGGCTCGCAGTATACGAGTCATAAGGTTGACCACCCATCAGATATACTAGCTGATATGGTTTAAGAATATTGTGGTGTCACAATGTACAAAGGTTTGGTACATTGTGATCGAGTTGTTTGGGGCCCAAACAGAATAAGAGAGGGTGTTGGAGAACACTACCTTTGGTCTTTGGTAGACAAGGAGCATCTATTTTGGTTTCAACTTCCTTGGACTCAGAAGTTCCTGATGTTGGTGAGTTGAGGTCAAAGGATGACTTCACAATCAAGGGAACAAAATCCTCATTATCTCTTTATGGTTATGGGAATGATCCTTTGTGGAAAGAAACTTTCAATGGGATCATGATAATAACTAATGGAAAATCTGCCCTTCATCCCTTTATCCCTTCATTTGATGGAAAGTTCTCAGGGTGAAGGGGGCTCATGATGTGTCATCCAGGTGGAGTCACCCATGGCTAGTTCGCCATATCATCTGCCTTGATGGTTATTCCACCATATGTTTGACCAGGTTTTCCTTCAGAAGGTTTCTTCCATTTTGCACGACGCAGGGGAAACATGGTACAGATATAGGAAGATATTCCTCCTTTGACATCTTGTACACCTGTCCTATACATCCTCGATACAGCTTGGGAGAAAGACACCTTCATCACTTATTATCCTCCTCAATACACTCACTATGGTTATGGGTTTGTTGCTGGAGTCAATACTATTTGAGCTTGGGGCATAGCACAGATTTGGGTTTTTATGAAGGGTGGAAAGTCAATCATCAGCCCTAGAACTGTCTTGGAAGGTGGACACAAGACATATTAGGGCTGCAAGTATTCTTCCTGATCATCTGCAACTTCTCCAATATACTGGGATCACATGGTATATTTGGAGGTCCTTTATTTCCTCACAGAGTTATCAACATTGATGCAAATTCATGGGAAAACTTCGAGGGGTCCCTCGCTTAAAGAAGCCACCCACCTCAAAGCCACTTCACCTCGTTTCGAGAACCGACACCCTTTTCCACCGGATATCAATTGATTGGAGACTTCAATCCTGCATGGCTATTGTCACCCCAGTCTGGAGGCAAAGACTTTGAATAATCTATTTTGTAAGTCTGTCAGTGTCTTCTTGATATATTATTGAAATGGGGATAATATTGTGTTATTGTCACATACAATCTTTGAATTTGAGTACTAACCTTTTTCCTCTGGTAAGCTACATATCAGGATATCCATTGGATAATAATACTCAAAGATACAATCAGTCATTTCAAAGACTCTTTTTATAATAAGTATATAAGTCTTGGCAAAACAAATCTGGAAGTAGTGGTTCCAGTGGTGGTCTTACCCGGGTCATCATTTTGGTTTGTTGTTATCCAGGTTGTAACACCGAGAAGCCCACCCAACAAGGTTCATTTACTTCCTTCTGGGCCAACTTTCCCCTCTCATTCATTTCCCTTCTTCTCTTCTCACCTTCTCACCTGTTGCCCAACAATCCACAACAATCCACAGACACATACACCGAATTCTCCTTTCAAGCTCTTTAATTACCAGTACAACAGGCCTGGTAAATTGTTCTCTTCTATTATATACAATCTTATTTCTTTCAGAGTTCTGGTTTTACACAGTACCACTACCACGTCCATTGCGTGTTTCTGCTATGCCAATTATTTCACAAACCTTCATATATTCGAATCTTACGGCACATCTTACTTTATCATGGCTCCCTATCTCATGACTGATAATCTACTAACCTCCAATGGGGGAATAGTGTTACCTGCGGATATATGCCTGCGCATTGTAGACCTGGTAATTCATGACGCGCCTAAAAACGCCGCCATATTACTCAAGCTCTCGCGTGTAAGTTATACCCATGCCTATCTTATGCGCCCTCGATTCAGCACTATAGCGCATGCCTGCCAATCACAACCATCATTCTTGTTTAATTGACTCTATTCTAGTCTTTCCAAAAGCTCATCAAAACGTATGAGCGAGCACTCACCAAGAACGCCGTCAAGCTTTACGACAACTCTCAAGTGAACCAACGTATCTGTCGGATCGCGAGAAGCCGTCCCAAACATAGTGGTTTTGCTCCAAACTTCTACCTCAACCATACGTTCGCCTGGCTATTAGAGGTACAAACGCGAGCGGGGATGACGCAAGAGATCATCCAGGACAAATTCTCTCAATGCCTAACCTCCAACATCTACTGGGCCGGCGGAGTAGGCTTCGACCCTCCCACTCTCCCAATTCCTCGCATAGAACTCGAATTACGAGTCGCGAAATTCAAAGAGGAAGCCATTAAGTTGCTGTACGAACTTTTCGACGCCACAAACGGCATCAAGAACGAGTGGCGTGCTCGCACCCGACAAATCGACCACCTGGTCCAACTCAGCACACCCGAACTTGCCATCCTCTGCATCTTCATCCCCATCTTGGGGTTCAACTATCTCGAGAAATTACGCGATAACACGATACCATCCCGTAAAGCAGTAATTGTCTTCCAACATAATCTCATTCGCTATGGACCTATTATTGCCTGGCTACAGGTTTGTCCGTTGATTAAATGTAATCGGGTTACGCTGGGTGGCTCGATGGTATTATATGATTGGTTTAGGGAGAAGCAGGAGGAGGGGGGCAGGAAATTAGACGCATTTGAGAGGGGAGGGACGACGGAGGCGAGGATGATTTTGGTGTTGTGGCGGATTTTTCAGGGGAGGAGGGAGGTGAGGAAGGTTTGGTCGCCGCGGACGGGGGAGGGGTTGTGGAAAGTTGCGAGGAGGATGGTGGAGGGGAGGATGGAGGGATATGTTGTTGTTTGAGGGGGTGTGGTTTGTGATTAATGAGTACATATGATGCTTGGAGTGTGCATGGTTTGAATCGGGATATGTTTGGTATATGGTGGGATTTGGGAGTTTATATTGTGATTTGGGATGGTTGGCTGTTTGGCTGGTTTCTTGTATTAGCACTGGAACTAGCATCAGGATTGTCGGTATGGATATGAAGCTGTTTGGGTTAAGCATTACGAGTTGGATTAGGTTTCTAAAAGGGATTATGATGATTATGAAATAGAATGAACTGAAATTATACAATATGAATATTCATTGTGAATGGGTGAGAATCTATAGTATCTATACAATGAATTCATACACTAAAACTTCTCACCACATAACGTTAAGACGATAAACATCGTTATCCACAAGCTATCCGATGATCCAACAGTTCTCATCTAATATTGGTAGCACAATAGTACCCCCTTGTTCGTGAAGTATTTGAATATTTGATGGTATTAATCTTATATCGATATATTGGTATTATTGATTGTTTATCTATAACTTAGGAATTCGCTGGGTTTATTTGATGGTAATGGGATTGGGATTAGAAAGGGTCATTCATTCATGAGCGGTTCATGATTAGAGGGTTCTCATCTCGTCTCATCTTATGGTGTTGAGACGGATGGAGATGAGATGAGATGGAGTTATAGAGGAAATAGTTAAGGGCAATTACTCGTAATGCATTTGAGGAAATTGGTATAAAAGGTATATATACACAAGTATAATCACTAGACTTTAGACTAGAATAGCTTAGGTATGCATCTTGTGGTTCTCGGCTGAGATGGTTGGTGAAGGTAATGGTATCCGGATGATGATTGATGATTGAAATAGGTAGAATAGATTTGGGGGTTGGAGCTGCTGGTTTCGTTTTTGGGATTTTGGGATCTTAGGACGGTGATGTGTCTTGATTGTTTGGAGTTCTCTTTTCATAGATCGGGTTTGAAGGTGTTTACTAAAGTTATTCCACCTCTAGAGTCTACTCGTTGTGTGAACCTAATGTATTCTTATTTGTTATTGTAAATGTGAGTGTAAGTGTAAGCGCAGATTGACTACCCATTTACAATACCATTCTTAATCGTTGCTGGAATATCATTAGTATAGTCGAGTACAGCTCTATCAATACCTAAATCAAATAAAACTTCTGTTGTCTTTTACACTTGTCTAGAATAAATCTAAACCTAAACCTACGGTACACGTATTTATTATCTCCTCGAGTACCAGCAGAGAGTATATGCAGTACGGCAGTTGTAGCTCAGCTTTAAAAAAAGAGAGGGTAATCAAAAAGTATGTACATCATGATCTTGAAGATGCACCAATAATTGGCTGGTCCCTTTTCTATCTTTCAGATTAAATGAGATAGCATTTATATTATGTCAATTACTGGCAGTCTGAATATCTAAAATACTCCATATCTTCTACTTCGAGAGGAATAGAGTGCGAACTTTGATTTGATATGATATACGCATAGTAGAGCATAGCATGTTTACGAACATCGATTCTGCTTATAGCCTTTACTTTGTGCTGTGCAAAGAGGAATGGTAATTATATTAATTGTGAAGATATAAGTATTGGAAATTAGATGAAATTTGGAAGTTTTGATTTTATGATGTACTAGTAAATGGTTTCCGTTTTTCCCAGTAATTTAAAAGCTGAGAAGCCTTCAATGCTACATCTCCTGCGCTATTAAATGTTACGCCTATCATCCTCCTACTACCTTTACAAAGTTCAAGAACAGTCATGATATTCTCTCTACCTACAGTACTCGGTCCAAGATACTATAGTCCTTCATTTATTGGCCCTAGTCCGTCCATTCACTTGGACTCACCACCTCTTGACTCATCCTCACAGGCCTCACAATATTACTGTATATCAAGCTTTTCTTGCCTATTCCAAACTTCTCCTGAATTAAACTTCTGTCAAATTTAAATGCTACCTTACTACCGTAGTACCCGCATGATACGCATACGTTCTAATTTATAAATATCCACAACGATCACTCACTGAATCTCCTAATTTCTTCATCGTACCAGTATCACCCCGACACAGATTTCGGAATTACTATACTCAAGTATATACCCAATTTCTAGTGATGAGATAGTAATGTGCATAGCTCCTCATTGTGTCTGCTTCTCTAGCGGCTTGGATCACTACAAATCACCTTGATATGCTCCTCATTGAGTAGTTATCCACTATCTAACTCCTTCTATCGCTAGCCCCACCGGTACCTGTACCGGCGCCGCACCTGCACTTTAGATTACATATCCCGGCTGCGATATTCGACCAATTTGCCATTGACGAAGTCGGAGACAGTGGAGTCCTCGAATGAACCATGGTGTGAACTATCAGCCAAGCGCTTAGCGTTTGAGCTCTAAAATCCGAATCGAATTGCGCATCACAGAGTGAACGGTAATGCCATTAGTCGACAATCTTTTGTCAAGTTATGCACAGTGTGAGTGGACCGTTTTTTCCAACAAGATTCAAGAAAGATTGAAGACATTGCCAAATATATAGATGAGAATAAAAGTTCAGCCAAAGTGTCTCGCAACAACCTACTGTGAGCAAAGTTTGAAAAAGTATTGTATATATGTAGTACATGTATTATGCTATATGTAGATATAATTAATTGGGCTTTTTACCCTATAGTTTAGTTGTATACAATGGGAATTTCCGGGTATATTATCAATACCGATTGATTTATCAAGTACAAAGGTTTCGAGTAGATTTCATGCTAAACTTTCTGCTAAATACCATGTTAGGCTCCGCTTAGAATGTTGATTTCGACAGAACACCTAATCGTTAGCCTCGCTTAAAACGACCCCCGTTCACGGTATATGCGTTCCTTCTGGCTTAACCTAGTATAATCTAGTCGCCACAGACCAATCCATTAATTCGCTTTTAATCATCGGAATTAGCCAGTCAATTAGTAAAACAACTAGCATACTTTCGCTCACTATACTGCTTACCTTGCCTTTACAAATTCCCCTTACCATTGAACTATTGAGCCTAAGCGAGGAATTAGTGTAGCCCAAAAATTTACGGGCGCGATGTATTGATTAAACTAGTACACTGCTCATTTGTGTAGGTGTTGCATCAGGTGTCATGGATATACGCATCAGGGGAGTTCTTTTGCAAAAAGTAGCGGTAGAATTATTGACTACTCATCTGATCCAACGTCCTTTGTATCTACTACATTTACTTTTCACCGATGGCTTCGGGCATGGGCGCGAGCTTGACGTCTATACATCTGCTGCTGTTACAAGAATATCAATCGCTTCTATTTTCTTCCCTCTAACCACTTAGTTGTATTTCCACTTTATCCAGAACAATCACCCCCTCGATGCAGACATTCGACTATTGCCCTCAAATATTCTTACAATGTTTGTGGCAGTATCACACCTAGAATATTGCTGAGCTAGGGATTCTGGGTTTTGCCAATTGCAACTATTATGCCGATCTGGAAATTGAAAGTTTTCAAAAGTCCCCGCAAACTCTTGCTACACATAGTGCAGCAGTGCAGCAGTGCTACACATGATAGCATATGGCTTTGTGCTATAAAGCATAATCTAAACATCGGGATAAGGAAATTTAGGAGCCAGGGAACTACCAGAACTTGTATGTATAACAAGCACAAGCATACGGTCTAATGGTTTTCCTACTTATCTGCTTTTTGCTACCAACCAAATTATTCTGGCGATACAAAATTGGATGATAGAGATGAAAACTATATACATCATATCTATTAGTTAGAGAGAAACACAGAAGGCACTCAACATCACCGGCAAATTGAAATATATAAAAAATGACACATGATTCTGACACAGCGTTTGAAATATCCCATCCTAGGCTTAGGATGGAGCTCCTAAGTCAACTACCCCACATATGGACCACCCCCCCTTTTGGACCACCCTAAAAAAAAGACCCCCATCTCCCAAACCCTATAATTCAATAACTATCCAACTTCAATAAAATCGCCTGTATCACTACTTTCAATTGTATCATTGCTATCTTCTACATTAATCCCATGGTCTCCAATTACGATTTGCACCTCCCTAATAGCTTTAATTCCTGAAAACCTGGTATTTGGATTAATAATAATCTTATATCTTTTCTTAGGTATAATAATATTCAATTGATATTTCAATTGTTTTATATACTTCCCTGATTCTATAAGATTATAATCCTTGATATCAAAAGTTTTGATAATTTTATGAAAAAGCAAGTATCTTGTTAGCAAATCAGGCTCTTTTTCTTGGGTTATAGTCGATATATATAATCGAAGATCAAATACTTTTTGAAGGGTTTTCCATATAATAGCTGATGCCTTTATATTCCATTGAAGCCAGGGATTATTATCAGAAACTGGATTAGATGCTAGAATCTTTTGGTTATTATTCTCGAGTAATAATCGATTTGTAAGAAGTTTAGTACAGTTTTTAGGCTATAAACCCAATACTTTCTATTCAGCTTTAATATTATGAATTATTAAAGTTTCTATTCTAGCCTTCTAGTAGCAATATAGGAAGCTATGCTTTTCAATTAGTATAGAATCAGAGAGAGAATTCAAATTATTGAGTATATATCGATATACATTTTTCAGAGATAAAAAGACTAATAAATCTAATGATTATAGAATGTATAAAATATGTAGTAGTAGAAATAGAAGATATATATTGTTTTCGAAGTATCTATATATAAAAGGCATAGTTTTATAATTTCCATGACTATCCAATATAAATAATTATATATCACCAGTCTCAAAAGGAATAATTTGAGATATAAAGACCTTTTCCAACCATTCTAACTCTATTACATTCGTAATCCACCCATTATCAATAATAACAAAGTTTTAATCCTTATAAAAAATAAAATCAATAGGAAATTATTATTGTTGAATCTATTTTTCCTTAAAAATGATAAGTAATATGAATACTCGCCCTGTTGCTGAAATATACTCAATAAAAGACATCCAAACTCTTGAACCAGGCTGTTTTTTCTGAATATTTCGATGCTGGGAGCTTCCTACTACTAGGTCATTGAAACCTTGACTTTCCATTATATTAGTCTCGTCTATATTATATCGATTTTCAGGTTTTATATCGATAATCTCTAGTAATTCGAGTTTTCGAAACCATAGTGCAATAATATCATATAAAACATCCGAAACTTAGGCAGAGTCGATCCTATACTATCTCTTAATTCTAATCTCTAGATTCCTCTTCAAAAAATTATATACCCATCGCTTTCCAAGGGTAGAATCGAGTTTTTTATATTGAGGAGATATTCTCCAATTTCTTGAATTTGTTAATGGGTAGGATTAGTACCCAAGCTCTTCTATATTAATATCTATTTCATTAAATGTTTCTCCTGAATCGGGGCAATCTTTTGTATACTCTAATAACTTTTTTGATAGGAGATGCAGTTATTGATACGATTATAAAGTGTAATGCAAGGAATCCCATAATCCAAAGCAGCTTTTTGTATCGAAACACTATTTACAATAGCATTTAAAGCTGTGGTAATATTATCTTCAATATGGAGTTTTGACATCATATAAATAATAGTATATCAAAATTTGAAATCGATTGATTGAATGGTTGTTTAATTATGAATTTTTGAAGAGGGTAGGTTGCTTAGGCGGTGTGGGTTTTTAGGGTGGTCCATATGTGGGGTAGTTGACTTATTCTATTGATTTGTTAAAAATCCTTATCCTATCTAGCCTTTGAAAAAGTTCTATTTATCATTTATTCTGATGAGTGGATATAGTAGATATCATATGACTTGCTGAAATGTATATTTGTATGATATATGAATCAGATGATGAATCACACAAAAGTCATATGAAAATTATATGAAATGTTATTATCCTATTAGCTCTCATCCTATCCTAGATTGTATATGATATCCTACTATAACCTCTGAAATTGTTGAAACTCCTTATTCTGCCTAGCCTTTCAAACTCCATCATACTTCATATCCTTACCTAAAGGATAGGATACGATGGGATATTTCAAACGCTGAACATGAAATGTAGATATGAATTGTCTTTGGCCCTTGATACTGTGAATGCTACCTTCCATCAAACATTAAGACTGTTCATTGAGAAATATGAGCTCGTGGAGTGCTAGAAGGTTCCCATCTACCTGCTCTTCCTCGGAAGAGCTGGCCTAATACGACGAGTCATCTTTAGCTTCCCGCTGTTGTGCCTCTTGTTCATCTCTTCGGAAACTTTTTTCACGCTTCTCGTCAAGCTCCTCTTCCGGCGTAATAGACCGCCGTCGCTTTCTCACCCATAGCTTTTCTTGCATGACGATTCCCTTCCTCTGATCCACTAATGCAGCTTCCTCCTCACCCTCCTCGACATATGCAAATAATGTAGCGGCAGATATAAATAATTCATCATTTATTGGTCCGTAGAGCTCCACTACAGATTTCGTTGCAAATTCTTGAAGTGGGAGGCGCAAACCTGCTTCTGCCGACTCGTTCGGATGGCCTTTTTTTTTTATCGCGGATGACCTAATTAGTATTAGTATAGCTAAGCATATGTAATGTTGGCTTTCCGAATATTACCTGGTCTATCACTGTTTTCACAGCAACTAACTCCATCTCCCCAGCATCGTTAGCTATGATCTGAGGTTGCCAAACAGATAGGGTAGCCTCCTTGCTTCCCCGATAATCTATATCGATGCCAATCATAAAGCGAATATCACCGTTGGTCTCATAGATATAATCCTCAGCTAATCGCTTCAAGTCTTTGCGTTTCCGTGAGTTTGAAACCTCGAGTACGACACCTGGATAACGTGCCCCCGAGTGAAGAAACTGTGCGTCTGGATCGTGTTTACTATATTTTGGATCTTCGAAACCGATGGTTGTCGAGCCGATTAGATTTATCTCTTGTGCAAACTCGGCGGAAGGACTTTCGCTGGAAGCAATGGAGTCGAGTTGCCGTGTTAATTCTGTCACAACCTCGCTTATGATTATTGCGTGGAAATGTGTAAGCCTTCGAATGATGGAAGTAATCGAAACTGTAGTCTCTTAACATTAGAAAAATCTACATGTTTTTTTATTCTTCTGATAATTCATACCGAAGCTTGTCTCCACAGAATCCACGAAGAGACTCATTGCTTTCAATTAATCGCAACAAGTCTACATACTCCTCATCTTTCAATTTATACTCCAACCAAGTTTCGTTATGATAGCTACGCCCAGCTCTCCGATTCTTGATTTCCTGCAAAATTTGGAATACTAATTGTGTCGTCTTCTCTCCGGTTGGTGGAGGAGTAAGAGGTTGGTCAGTAAAGTTTTCGGAAGGCGTGACTGAAAGAGGTTGTTGTATGATATTCATTTTCATAATATATTAAACAATGGTAGATATTATGATTTTATGCCTCTCAAGTGAATTTGGTATTTGGAAATGATGTTGGGGTTCATGTTTATTATATATGCTTGGGACTTTGGTTGCCTAGTTGACTCGATCACGCTATTATGAAGGAAGGGGTTGAAGGGAGGAATTAGATAAGGACAAAGAAACGGTAGTTGCCGGTACTGGTATTGTTATTGCCGTATTGCCGTTATTATTTATTAGGAGAGTATTAATAAGAATTAGGAGTATTAAGAATTAGACGACTCTATGATAATAATAATAATATAAATAATGTATAAAGTACCAATAAATGGATTTCTCATAGCATAATACTTGTATTTTGTGGGTGATAAACCATGCTAGCCCAGTCGGGGCTAGTGGGATTTATAGAGCTAAAGTCCAAAGTGGTTCACAAATTGATATTGAATGTTCTCGCGACGCGTTCTGAAATATAATAACTGATAATTCTGTAATTTGTTGTGACAGTCTTTTGGACGGTTTGCAAAATTCAACCCGTTCTTTCGTACACCACATCCCAAGGGGACGGTTGATTGAATCAATATTTCCAGTATCTGACTATTCGATATCAACATGACGAATCGCAATCCTCCTCAGTCTTTTATTTCAAGTTATGCGCCGCGATTGCGCACGTATGCCAATTCGCTGCTTACACCAGTCATACAACCAGCAACAGCTGTCGCAGCACCACTCGGTCGAACAACCAAAAGAGGAACCACGGCAATAAATTATGCGGAGGATGGATACGACTATGAGGAGGATGAGGATGATGAAAACAAGAGAAGGCCTACAGGTTTAAGGAGTTTGCGAAGGGAAGATATCGGACATGCGAAACAAGATCCCTCGGACAAGGTTGGCAAAGAAGCTACTGCGCCAGTAGAGGTTCAGGGAATTTGGAGAGATTGGATGGGCAAGCAGAGACCAGGAAAAACGGACATGCAAAATTATGCGCAAATCGCATTACCATTGACGTTGATCCCGATTCGAATCGACCTCGATATTCCTTCCTTCGCACCTCCTGCGCCTTTACCAGTCCCTGTGAACATTCCATACCCTACGATTGATACATCCCTCTCGGTATACAGACCACAAGAGATGACAGTGCCATATCGCTTGAAGGATGTATTTTTGTGGAATTTACACGAGACATTGACAACCACAGACCAATTCGCCCAGACCATGGTACAAGATCTGGACTTGCCAAATAGAGGACAAATGGCCGCGGAAATCAGCAAACAAATCCGTACACAACTTGAAGAATATGCAGGTGTGGCTCTTCATCCACTCTTTCATTCGCAACAGACTGCAACATCGCAACAGACTGCAACGGCGAACAGCACTTCAACTACCATAAAACTAAATTCGACATCTCGAGATGCCTCGGGTACACCTGCTGCAAGTGGAAATGCTACTCCAATGCGGAATGGCATCAGTCAATCCAATGGCTTTCTAACCCCTGCTAAAGCACCCACTGTCCCATTGCAAGATATCACTGCCACTGCTGCCTCAATACCACCCGAGTCTGATGAATACAATCCAGATGATATGTACCGGTGCATCATTCACTTGAATGTTAACCTTTTGAATCACCTCTACACAGACAAATTCGAATGGTCACTATTACACCCACCAGGAACCGCCGAAATATTTTCAAAACAAACCTGTGCAGATCTTGGTTTACCTCGCGAATGGGTTCCAGCCATGACACACGCTATCTATGAAGCAGTTATAAGACTGAAAAAGGAGGCTTGTGAAAGTGGTGGTTTGGTCGGCGGTTATGGGGGAGATATACCTAACGATGCCGCACACGGCAAGGAAGCCGGATGGAGATATGATAATGAGCACTTAGCAGATGAGTGGGAACCAAAGGTTGAAGTCTTATCGAAAGAAGAGATTGAGAAACGAGAGGGTGATAGAGAAAGACAGATCAGGCGAATGCGCCGAGAGACTGCTCGATTTTCGTCGAATTCTGGGATGGCCGGTGGTCTTCCAACACCTGGTGAAAACAAAGGATACTTTGATGAGCCACCAGCTGAAGAACGCATGGGACGTGGAGAGAGAAGTAAGAAGAAGAGACGCTTCAGAAGTCTTAGTCCATCGGGGAGGTCTGGAACACCTGGTGGAAGAGGAACTCCAGATACTGGAGGTGTTACCGGATATGGTGGAGGTGGTAGCCTTACCGAGTTTGAGCGGAATAGTTGGAGATGCTCCCACTGTAAAGTATGGGGAACATCGGTTTGGTGTGTCAGGGATGGACCAATTGGACCAAGAGTAAGATGCCTTGATTCTCTGATTATATGTAGGACTAACAATATCCAGACCCTTTGCAATAATTGTGGATTTCTCTTCGAAAGAGACCGCAAACTACCTCGTTGGGCCAAAGATCTTCACAGGCAAGACCTCCGCTCAAGTGAATACCGATGAAGATATATCCTAGTCATTGCTGCATCAGAGGTATAGGAAATTTCTATTCAGAATTTCATGAATTTAGGGAAGCTTTTTGTGCTTGGAGTCTTGCGATGGGAGGGCTTTATATCACGAAGCGATGTGGTAATATGGATCACAACGGATTTACTTCTGATATGCACAGCGAGGACATGTTTGATTAGGGATGGAAAAGTCATCATTATAGAGCAGTGACTTTTTCGAAAAGAAACTTTTGTACAATAGAGAGGCTAGGCCATTTAATGAAGTCTGATCAAGAATATGAAAAGTGGAATGAACATGTCTTGCTGTATCTTCATCAGACATTCTTCTCGAGTATCATTTGAACTCATAGTGTAGTCTATGGACGATCGCCATATACACCCGTTGTCTGCCGTGCTATTTACATAACATTGACCATTTCCCCAGACCAACGCCCGAGCAAGCAGCTCAATCAAAGCAAAAAGTCGATTCATAACCCCATCCCATTCCATCATTACAATAGAAAGCCGACCCCCTCACAAGCAAAATTAATGCAAAATGAACAATCTACCACCCCTCCCAATTTACTATCCAGTCATTCATTTACCCATCACCCATTATCCATTATTCCTTATCCATCATTCATCATTCATCAATCATCAATCCTTCAAGAAAAAAACAACAACAACAACATCCTCTCAGATGTCTACTGTTCCGTCTTCATCTTCTTATTAGCTTCCTCGCCTTTCTGTCCCGTGCTAACCCCTCTCGCTCTCTTAGCACCTTCCTTTGGAGCGGGACTTGCTAAAGAAGCTGTGTATTGCTGTGCTTGTGCTTGTGCGTTAGCCCGGGCTTGTCCTTGTGTGTTAGCCTGTACCTGTCCCTGTGCGTTCACTTGGCCTTGTCCTTGTGCGTTCGCCTGTCCCTGCTGTCCCTGCTGTCCCTGAGCTTGTCCCTGAGTCGCAAACCGCACATCATCCCCGGCCCGATCAGCCTTCGCCTGAGCATCAAGCCTCTGCGACTCAACACGCAACTGCAGCACCTCCGCCTCTTTTTTTAAGCTCCATCCTCGTACCCCCTGTTCTCCAACCATATTATTTTTGCCACTAACAGTGACCGTAGCATCGACATCAACGCGAATCCCACGAGGATTTCCTTCTGCATCGCCCATGGGGAGACCACGTTGACCTTCGGTGACCGAGTGGAGAGCTCGGAGGACGGCTTCGGCGATATTTTGCACTTGCGGCGCGGGGTGTATCGTGACCATGTTGCCTTCGCCGGTGATGATTAGTGGGGATTTGATCTCGAGGTGGAAGGTGTTAGTCTCGTAGATCTTTTCTTCTTCTTGCTGCTCCTCCATCTCGTCGTCGTCGGCAGCATTGGCTCCAGCAGCGCCCGGGTCCGCTCTGGGAACAAAAGGGTGCGGCATTCCGGATCGAACGCGGTAGCCTGTAGGATTGTAGCCTGTAGGATTGACGACTTCCATGGGTAGATCTTGTGGCTCCAATGGAAATGAATTGGGATCGAGGTGGGGACTGGCCATTGAATACCCTTGGTTACCTTCCAAACTCTGCTTCAGTTGCTGTTGTTGGTTTCGTAGCATCTGCTGATATTGCATCTGCTGATGTTGCATCTGCCGTTGTTGTATCTGCAGCTGGTCTTGTATTGGCCGTTGATGTAGCATGGCTGGATTCGTCTGCTGCATCTGTTGTTGTATTGACTGCTGATGTAGCATGGTGGGATTCGTCTGCTGCGTCGGTGTCCTCAACCTGACGTCAATGCCTAATGCCTCATTGAGGGCCATATGAGTGTTTTGGAGGTTGTCGCTGTTCCCATTTCTGGCAGTACCCCGGCCACCTGCTGGATTGGAAGTGATTCCCAAGCCCTGGAGACTAGGTAAATGACTCTGTGAACCAGACATGCTGAAGATGAATGATATTGGATGATTATCCGATAAAGCGTGATAAGATTTGACAATAAGAGGATTGTTGAAAAATTCAAGGGTGTTGGTTGGTCTGGACCAGAGGTTGGAGAAATTATTCGACTTGAATGTCTTTTATATTGTTTGTGGGAAGTCGGCAGAAAGATCTTTAACCAACAACCCAATAAAATGATTGCTTTATCTCGAAATTGGAAAGCGGTAGGAACAGTAGGAATCGTAGCCGAGAGCTTGTTTTGATATCAATAGAATATAATTCACTCACGACAGACACTAGCTAGTGATGAATGAATAACTGAAAGAGGAAAGTATGAATTGATATCCGAATCCTATTGACAGTATGAAGAACTTCTATTCAAACAACAGGAGAAGTGAAACTATGAGTTATCGAACTCTCATTAGTACAATAATGAACTTCCTTCCAGACCACTAAAGATGAGGTCCTTTGAATATAAGATTTCCAACAAAATTGAACTTCTATTCAGAGAGCTAAGGAAAGAACTGTGAACATCTAACTTTTACTGATTGAAGAAGGAGCTTGAATCCAAACACCCTAAGGTAAGAAAGAAGCATGGAAATCTGATTTTCAACCACAGCATGATGAACCTTGATCAGAGTGATGGAAGGAGAGAACCATGAATATTCGGCTTTTTGATGAGAGAATAAAGGGTTTCTCAATCAAGCGACTAAGAGAGAGAATCATGAAGGTAAAAACTCCATATTCGCAAATATGGAGAATACCTGGTAGCATTAGACAAGATCCTACCAAATTCCAAATGCAAGACTCTTGTTCACACTGCCAAGATGGAGTGTCTTGAATGTGTGAACTCTAAATCTGACATACTATAGACTGTGATGAGTATGAGATAAATGTACAAACTTGATATTCACAATATATAGCGAAGACCTGGTTAGCAAGAGGCATATCATACCAAGTGTATAGCTCTCATGAATCAAGGGGAGGACTTCTGTTTATATTTTAATAGTGGAGGATCTTGAGTGTGTGAAGTCCGACTCAGATCTAATAATATATGGAGTGTTCTGGAGAGAACGGAAACGCGCAAAGAGCTACGACATACAGCTTTGTACCTCCTCAGGTTATGTGAGATTATCCTAGTCTCCTCCATCCCCCCCCTTTCTATAAGATTCACTTGTCTTTCTTCTTTGTCAACACTGTTGTATTTGGAGAAAGGGGGGAGTGGAGGGGGATTTGCTTCATTGACAGATGGATACGTACAGCCCTCGGATTACTACTACCTACTAGTTGCTATATAGTAAGGTGATTGATTACCTTACTTCTCTAGCTATGCAGGGGATCATAACTTTGATTATGATCTCATATGACACAATGCTAGCTTTGCAAGTTAGTCATGCATATAGATCTTAGCTTTGCTGATCGGTATTGCCAAACTTAGCTTGGTTAACAGTAAATGAAAGGCCCTTCTCCATTCGAACACCGATGGCTCATTTCCATGCAATGTTGGGAAAGAAGAAAGGATGCTGTAGTATCCAAAGCTAAAGCATGGAATCATCAAATTTAGAGAGTAACACTGTAACAGTCCGGTGAAAATCATTATAAGTAGGTCGCAGAATGTTGCTACTGTAGCATCAAAAACTATAATGAACATTTATCAAAAGTAGAGACAAAAATACGTCATGGGAGATTACCAGATTGGTGTAGAATCTAGAGATAGAACATTTGTCTTACAAGGTTTAGAATTGTAATAAATTGGTGAGGATTCTTGCTGCAGTGCCCGAAACCAAAATAGTCAACCAGGTCAATGATGAAAAGTAGGGGATGCAAACAAGGTGGACATTGAATTATTGTATAAGCAAATTATGGAATACAATTAAGAAGAGTTGGTAGCTGCATTATCAATCAACATGATGATGAATCATAGAGAAAGTATATGCTCACTTGAACAACTCTCATCTGATGGAGTTTGATTTCTGTCTCGATGCATAGAAACCTAACCCCTCCAAGATCCAACACATTCTTAATACTGACTTATATGTTCCCCATGTTCCATTATTGCATTCTTCTGTTACATTCGCACGTCTTTATCAGTGATCTTTCCGTCTTCACCTTGATATTCAGCCAGCTTCCCAAGCAAGATCACTCACAATACAAACTGTTCTCTTGGTCATAACATGTCATGGATTGGTATCATTCCTCAGGCCATTACATCTATCATACAAACCCCTAGAGGACAAGAGAACTCGCTTTGAGGGTCTCATTTCTTTTCCACCGTCTTCTTAACACCCTCGACAAATGCCTCGACTGCATCACCACCTCCCAACGGAACACTCCCTCCCTTTACCAACCCATTGTTCTGCAACTTAACTCCCAATGCATCTGCAATACTAGGTAAACCACCATCTCTAATTGCCATAGTCAAACTTCCTAAGCTCTGATGAAATTGTGGACTCCTTACTACTCTCTTCAATACCGACTTCTTCTGGTCCAAGCTCAAAGCTTCGATTGCAGCAGCTGAAGTCTGGGAAGTTGGTTCGGCCATTCCTTCGAGGGAAGATGCGGATTCTTGTGCAAGTTGTAGGATCGTAGGTGGAAGATAGCTAAGGAGATTATCCACTTGGGCTGGGCTTGCAGCGTCGATCGATGGAATAGTTACCGCATTTGGTAAAAGGTCCGGTAAAGTGGTGTACATTTGACCTTGTGCTTGTTGTTGCATGCCTGCTCCTCCAGGACCCTTCAAGGAATTGAGAAAGTTTTGAACAACTGAGGCAGCATCTGTTGGTCCTGAACCAGCACTACTCACATCGTCAGCGCGAGGTTCTTTACAAAGGCCAAGTCAGATAACTTCGCGGTTCTGAAATTCAATCTCAATGAAGCTGTCTAGAAGTACATAGAACAATACGGTATGCTCATTGTTGAATCTACCATTGTACCAACCAAACGCCTCGTGTTTAAGTGCTCGTAAATGCTCGGGTATTTTTAAACAATCGATGGGAATTAACCTACGCTCTTCCACCATCAGCTCCAGCCTCTCTTGAGCTTGCCCCTTCTTCCCTAATATCTCCACCAGTTGCATCTGCTCCGGCTCCACCACTTCCACCTTGATGATGTTCAGACGTATCACCATGGCCCTCAACATCCTCCATCGTTTCGTCGTGATCGTCTCCTCCATCAGCTCCTCTAACTTGTGTAATTTCCTGTTCGACATCGACCTCCTCTCCTTGCAATATCGTATCCACAATCTGTCCAATCTTCAAGTCCCGGGGACTAAACCAACTTGCATCTCCATTTCGCGCTTGAGGTTTTGATTGCATCCAGAAAAGTTGTCTTTGAGAAGAGGATGAAAACTTGAGAACGAATATGCGGCCATTAGTTTTTGCAGTCAATTCATCGGTTTGATTGGAATCGTAAGGTTGAAAGTGACCATCGGTTGGAAACATCAGCAAGTCCAAGTTATCCTCGGCATCCATAGGTTTGCTTCTTTCGCGCCAACAGAAATGAACGATATCTATGAAATTATTAGCTATGTCCATCTGCAGCCATATTAAATGAATTACCTTCTTCAGCCCAAAGGTAGATATAACCAGGAGTTGCATCAGGCTTGACCTTGTAAGGTTTACTTGATGTCTGAAAGAATAAAGTATATTAGCATTCTGTTTGATGTGAAGGAAAGTATGGGTTTCTTTACATCAATATCACACTTCCCCGCCTTGAACGTAATAAGTGGTGAAATAGGCATCTTGTTGTTTGGTTTTTTGAATAGCTGTTTTTGACAGGTATGTATGTAGTTGAACAGCTTCAATAATAAAGTGGAAGCTTCAACTCTAGGCGGAGGCGGAGCTTAGCAATGAAAGTGTCCGGGTGGAGACACATCAATGACGGTAGAAGTAGAAGCAATCAATCTTTAAACCTTAATAATTAGGCACACATTTCTTCAACCTTTAGATAAGCAACCCATCACATGATACACAAACCTCGCTAAGCGAATGGAAATTTCGAAGTGTGCTGCCCGCAGGTTTTAGCCCTGCTCTCCCTCTGGTTTTTGTATCGGAAGAACATCTCGACTTTTACGACCAGCGACCAGCGACAAATATCACGACAAAACCCACCAACGGTTCCTTCTTCAAGATGTCGGCAACAGAAGCTACCCAGAAGAAGACCTTCGGAAAATCGACCCGGGTCGTTTCCAATGAGAAGGCACAAAAGTACTACCCGGCAGAGGATGTCTCGAACCCAAGAAAGGTAAATACAAAAGGACCCCTTTTGAAAGAGAGGCCAGAGAATTAGTTGGAATATCGTCAATTTTGGAAAGTGACGCGGCGCGGAACCATAAATATACTGGGATTTGCGATTACAATTGCAATCTGCAGAGACATATTTGATATTGATATCAACCAGATCGCCATTACACCACATTGCATTTTCAGGCATTACATTGCGGTTTCAAGAACCTTATAACTAACAATGAAATCTCCAGGTCCGAAAATCCATCAAGCCTTCCAAAGTTAGACCATCCCTCGAGCCCGGAAAAGTCCTAATCCTCCTCGCCGGTCGTTTCCGTGGAAAGCGTGTCATCCTCTTGAAGGCTCTTGACCAAGGTGTTCTCCTCGTTACTGGCCCATTCAAGGTCAACGGTGTCCCCATCCGCAGAGTCAACGCTCGTTACGTTATCGCCACATCCACCAAGGTCGATTTGGCTGGTATCGATCAAGCAAAGATTGAAGAGATCTCAAACCCAAAGTACTTTGCTAGAGAGAAGTCGGAGAAGAAGGCATCAGAAGAGGCTTTCTTCAAGCAAGGCGAGAAGCCAGAGGTAAGATATTACATCGGAAATATGACATATTTACATGAAATTAATAATTCCAAACAGAAGAAGCAACCATCCTCCAGCCGCGCAGCAGACCAAAAGACCATCGATAAGGCCATCCTTTCCAGCCTCAAAAAGACCCCAGAACTCGTCAGCTACCTTGGTAGTTCTTTCAGCCTTCGCAAGGGTGATAAGCCACACGCAATGGTATTTTAGATATGTGTGTTGCAGATTGGGGGAAATGGGTACATTTGGGCGTGGATGTGGGAAAATTCTACTATCAATTTGACGAATCGCTTCTTGCATCTTGACCTTTGAATGGGCATGGGTCACCTCATTGTGAAGGGCGCTTTGTAATCAGATTTGCAATGATGAAGAAAACCACGAAGCAATGATATGTTTTTTTACGCGGATAACTGTGAGATATGTGATTGGGATGAATTGTGGCAGGTGAAGAATACAGATGAGGTTTGGGTGGTGGGCATGCACTCCAAAGGATGAGTATGTGACGACATTGCGGCCAGCCACTACATGCATGTGAAGTCCGGGGTTATGTAATGACCCGAATCTGATCCGTATTGTTTTGTGGAAATATCTAGGGGTCGGGTAGAGATGAGTAAGTCCCAGGAACTCTTCTTACTCACACTGGAAGTATCACACTGTGTCTGTTACTTCTTGTTCATGTGATAAAAGCTCTCTCAAGTGCCCACCAGAAGTACTGTTGTGGGTTCCAAAGATTCCCAGACCAGCTGAAACCAACCAACCAACCTAGAGTGGTTCTGGTTTAGTCTCTTTCACTAGCAACCACTCGACCACGCAATCGCAGTCTCCGAGACCAGCCCTCACTGATATGCGTAAAATCCATGCACCAAGCCCTGTCCACACCTATCTTGCTCCATCCAAGTTCTCATCTTCCCCTTTGTTTTGGTTCCCACACACCCCTAAACACCCCTCTCCGCAAAACTCCTAATCATGCCCTCACAACTCGCTTCATACTCCTTTAACTCCACCTTTCCACTCTCCTCATCCAACAGGGTATTCGCCTGCACGAATACCTTTCTCGGTTGTTTACACTTCAGCACCTGATCTCTTACTTTCTTTCCCCAATACTCTGGCTCTACGAAACACATTTCGTTGTATACTTTGACACCTGTCTCTACATCCGCAATGGATTTATAGATGTGGAGTTTTTGGAGATACGATTCGACGGCTTGACGACCGATGGTAGGGATTAGGTGGCGTTTGAGGTTGATGGTGAGATCTGAGAGGTCGGATTTGTTGTGGGTTAGGGTGCAGAAGTCTTGGGGGGCGGAGAGGAAACATTGGAGGATGGAGAAGCGGGCTTGCGAATGGGCTTGGCCCCATTTGGTGGAGCGGGGATCCCACTATGGAAAGTGTTTTGTTAGAACTTATTTCGGGTTTGTTTGGAGGGGTGGAACACATACTATTTCTAAGGAGCAAACTCCCATTCTAGCCATGGATAACCAAGCTGCGTATAAAACATCTCCCGCTTCATTATTCATATCAGGCGTTCCATCACCGTATCCGAAGATTCTAAGAACCTCAAAATCACAGCTGAGAGCCATGGCAATAGTCTCAGCTCTACACTCTTCATAGCTTGACGCCACACTACCAAACACTGATCCCCACGTCTGACCAGGCTTATACCAGGTAGTGATTGGCTTCCCGGTAAGCGGATTGACAGGGGGGTTCTTAATGTCAAAATTGTAGACTCCTGGCTTGGTTTCTTGAAGTAATTTCCCGGTTCCATGGCCTAGAAGCTCGTGAACACCCACTTGTACCTCAAAGGCCGCATCGCGATATTTGGAGAATACGTCGAGGTCTTTAATTCTGATGAAGGGAATCTTCTCGTTGGGGGCTTTTGCTGATAGCACGTTGCCTAATGAGACATTCTTGAAGCCTTCAGTCTGTCTAATGTCATCGTAGTTCGGCTACAACATTGGTCAGCGGTGTTCATGATTTAATTTTCTTCATAGCACCCACAATATTTATGCCTGCTGGTATTCCAGCTCCAGCAAACGTCAAAACTTCTAGACTGGTAAAGTCAGGACTCAAGAATTTATCTTTTTCGAATTCTGAGCCCCAAGGTAATTTAGGAATGAGGCTTTCGGCAGCATTAACCAGACCTCCAAAGGCACGAGTGCGTTCAGCATTTACCATTGCGGCAAATCCTATGCACGAAAAATGTTAGAAGTGCTTGCTAAAGAACTGGGAATTTCCCAGACATACCTTGGAATTCAGCTCTCACACCTTGAGGATCTCTCAAAGTCTCAATGAACCCAATATTAGATTCAACTGAAGGTCCCTTATCTCTGATCCAATATCTCTGTGAATCCTTGAAGACTTGCGATGAACCTGTTTCGAATGATTTGGCGTAGGCCTCATACATGTCCTTCTGTGTATTGTTTGCTGCATTCTCGGCAGCTTTCTTGCAATTATCAGCAACCAGAGCTAACTCTTTCGAGTAATCACCAAAGACGATTTTTAATTTGCTGCCCTCTAGTGGTCCCTCCTCGATCACAAAATCAGTTTCCTTGCCGATATCACTGCCTTCAGAAGGTATAGTTGTAATGGCTGAGGCAAGTAAAACTTCGAATACTCCTTCGGGGGTCTTTCTCAATCTTGTATTTTCCTACGCGACGGATCAACGCTATGAACAGTTTAAATACGTGAGTTGTACTTACCACTAGTAATCCCTTTTGCTCTAAAAAGTCGCCGACGGCAACAATATCAGATTTGGTGATATTAGTTGAATCGGGATAATAATTAGTCAGATGCCCATCATCAGGGAATCCAAGATGCATCAATCCAGGATCCTGAGTTGGGAAGATAGCTCCTTTTGTAGCTTCATAATGTTGCTTTGTTTTTGGGGAAAGCTCAGCTAAAGCACTGAAGACTTTCTCATCGCATCTTGGGATGATTTTCGAATCTCCAAAGAACTTGTAATTCCCGCAATTACCCAGGAACTATAATGAGTTAGTTTTGTTTTCTGAATCTTTTACCTGTATGCATTGTAAAGTTTCACGACTCACCTGACCGCAGTACTCTAAGAAGGATTTCAACCCCTCATCACTAATACCGGCTTTCTTTTGGACGGCATTCCAGTTGCCTTTAAATGCCTTGTGAAGCTCAACGATGAAATCGTAGATATCTTCCGATTCTGGCGAAACTTGTCTCAGGGTGATACGTGTTCCATGGACAGATGCTCTGTGAAATCACGTCAGGTGATGCATACGCAGACAGTTTCCTGTAATTAAAGCTACAGCCAAGCTCCTACTAGATGGTGGTTCCCAGAAAAGAGTTGTGCATAACTTGGCTCCTCAGACTTCAAAAGTCAAACATACCTGCTAATATAATGAGCATAGCGTTTTTCCTTGTCAGACAAAGCCTCAAAATGCTTTTTGATCTCAAGTTGCACGATACTCGGCGGTGAATCCGCAAGGAAGTTCTTGAGTTCTTGAGCATTCATTGTGGAAAACTGATGTTGAAATTGTTGTATCATACATAGAACGTTGAGAGAAGGATGTGATGTTGAGATGGCGGGGAAGGAAAGGGCGATGTAAAGGCTGACGTGGGGTATAACAACGAGCCAATAAATGGGCATGTTGTGCATGTTTCAAGCGCCCTGACAAACATTTGGACATTATTAGTTGATACTTCTTATGAGTTTCTCACACAACTCATCATGCTATGATGCTATGATGCTACGATTCTAGATATCTATGATGAATATTTTATATTCACACGGACCACATCCGGGAGAGGGCCCTAAGGAGTGAGGTCCAAGGATATGATTTCCTTGTAGGCTGTAATGAATATGATATGCTCATGTTATCCAGCCCCTCAAAGATCCATTTGATACATGCATCAACTCAGGTATGGGGCGCCATGATCAAGCAGGTCTGGAAGATTGCCGAGCAAAATATTATACAATAAAGAGGTAACCAGTCCTTTATTCCATGAAATAGAATATCAGGTCTTAACTCTAATACCAAACACAAGATCTGAATGCCTTCTTTTCCATCCCTAAGTGTGTGTTCGAGGAAGTATATGATATGATGTTGGACTCTTATACCATCAGTTCACCAGGTCCAGCTTTGCGTTCGGAAGAAGAAAAGGATCCAATTGAAAAACCTAGGTACTCGAGTATGTAGATAACTATTTGTGCTGCGATCCAACAGGACGTCCTTAATTCACAACAAAATCCTTTCTCGTTGTGATAATAATAAATTCCAACCACATGGAGATAGTAGTTGATTGTTTGATGCTTGGAGTGAAAGTTAATTTGAAGACTAAATAAATATCTATCACGTGATCACAAAAGTTTAAATTCCGGCCCGTTCGCTAGCGAATTTTCAACTTCGCACAACAACTGAATTTTGATTTTCGCGATCTTGAACTACTTCCCTAGACGACGGCCAGTATTCTACACCTTTTCGCCATTTACGATATTCGACAAATTCGGCCAAGATGAAGTACATTCATTCCGAAGAGACTCTGAACATCCCAGAGGGTGGTAAGTGCGATGTTTTTCACTGCTGGTTCGCTGAGATTGGGGGAGGGGAAGATTGTAGTCGACGGTCGAGAGAATTGATGGAGCGCATTGAGAAAACATTGGAAGGAATTTTCGCAGATGAAGAATGAATGCTGATCGATCCGATTGAATAGTCAAGGTCGCCATCAAATCTCGCCAAGTTACCGTTGAGGGACCAAGAGGTAATTTACAACTCCTACATCGATCGACAGACACCCAATTCGCAAATCTAATACATCCGAAATAGGTAAACTCTACAAGGATCTCAGCCATTTGGCAGTCAACTTCTCCCAACCAAAGAAGGATGTCATTAAGATTGAGCTTCACCACGGAGCCCGCAAGAATGTCGCAACTCTCCGAACCGTCCGTACCCTCATCAACAACTTGATCATCGGTGTCACCAAGGGTTTCAAATACAAGATGAGATATGTCTACGCACATTTCCCAATCAACGTCAACGTTGAGAAGGGACCAGAGGATATCCCAGTTGTTGAGATCAGGTATGATGGTCTAATTGAGGAATCAATTTCGGCTCGGAGGATGGAAATGCTGATAATTTGGAAATAGAAACTTCATCGGCGAGAAGATTGTCCGTAAAGTTCAAATGAGAGAAGGTGTTGCTGTCGAGCCATCGAAGAACGTCAAGGATGAGCTCCAATTGTCTGGTAACTCCCTTGAGGATGTTTCCCAATGCGCCGCCGATATCCAACAAATCTGCAAAGTACGAAACAAGGATATCCGAAAGGTCAGCATTAAAATTCTCGTTCCTTGAATTTTCTTCAATACTGACAGTAAAAATAGTTTTTGGACGGTTTGTATGTATCCGAGAAGGGTAACATTGTTGAGGATGCTTAAATGGAGGATATGTGGTGGTAACCTTTTTCTTACATTCATGATATGTATTGGGAGCATTAAAAGGGTCACTTTGCATATTATGTAGCAAGGTGCTCGGAATGAACTTCTTGCGCAACAAACAACTACCTGCAATTTTAAATTGTTTGAAACGATCGATACCCCGGTGACCAGGATTGCATGATGGATAAGTTGGTTGAAGGGTGTGCCAGTGCAATGATTTGGGGGAGAGCTTTGAGGAATCAATGATCCAGTTATGGACCCTTTCGGATGTCATGATACAAAGTTTCAAGTCCGAATTTTCGTATCTTCAAAAGTATCTGACCTTGTGCAGTGTATGGTCTGCCATTCTATCCAGTTCATCTCAATTCCCAGAAGTATGAGCATCATCAATCAGTACCAATTCAACAGGTTTCTGAGCTACGTTAACCTTCATCATCTTCCTCGCCACACCCACCTCGTGGTCACCCCCTGTATATCATTTATCAATCAATTCTCATTCTTTCGTTTCCTTTCCACTCCTAGAATGGTGTAGGGGCCCTTATTATTATTGAATAGTATCGTCGGATTCCTAGATTGTTTCCACTCCTACTCCCATCTCTCTTTTCCGCTCCAAACTCTCATCTTCTATAACTTTCAAATCTATAACGGGATCTTGAAAGTAGACTTTGTGGAAGTTATTTCTTCCACTTTGTTCGGTCAGTGTTGCATCTTGATCTTGATCTCGATGTCAATATCAATATTCTCTATGTCTAATCTTTATTCTTTATGTTTACGTTTACTTGTAGACCTCTACTCATAAAGAGGTATGATTTAATTTGATTTGATTCTTGAATGTTATGAATATGCTTTTATGTGTATGCTATATCCAGAACTCATAGGGCGTATACAGAGACTCTCATTGACACTGACAAGTGAGGTTTATATTGAGACTCCTGATCTCCTGTTGATATCGTGTATATTTCTTAATTGTGTTGGGTGAGGAGAAAAGGAAAAGAAAAAGGAGAGAGTGAAAAAGAAAAAGAGAGAGAGGGGGATGGTGGGTGGCGAAGGGTTGAGGAAGGTAGCGAAGGGTGGAGGGAAAGAGGGGTAGATTGGAATAGGAAGTCAAAAATAACAAGCAAGAAGCAAGAAAAGGGGAGAGGAGATGATGTATCGAGTTGAGTTGAGTTGAGTTGATAACTTACTGTATTAATCTTTTAAGAGGACGAATTTGTTCATCACCTTATTCATTACCTTATTAATACCGGTATACTTTATTTGTAAGATTTATATTCTTTTGCGAGGTTTTAAAGTTAGGCTTTTAGCTTTCACGGTTTGTATACCTACCAAGTCATTATAATTCATGCCGTTGTCGTGCATATATATTGCATCTGAGTATGCTTTATATAAATTCTTCTTCTTCACTATATGATATATAATATATAAAAATTCATATTCATACTTCCAGTACTCATACTTATACTCATACTCGTACCTTTCTACTGTATTACTCTTCCCCAATCCAAACAGGGGGGAGGGGGATTTGGAAATATTTGATAATATCTCATGTGTATACTCTACTACTCGGAGTATATGAGTAATTATCTCAATGTTGATCTAGATTTTGGTCTTTGCTATTTGGATTTTTGTAAGTACTGCTTACTGTATACTCGAGTATGTAGGTATCCTAGATAGATATGATATCTTTTTGTCTTTTCATCTATTCAATTCATTTAAATTCATTCAGTCATTCATTTATTCTTACGAGGTACTAGGTAGGTATTGCTTGAGATAATTAGGGATCGCTTGTATTTTTATTCTTGTTCTTGTTCTTGTTCTGATTTGTATTGTGATTCTTCCTCTATACTTCAACTTTGTCTTCAACTCTAACTATAGTAACAACTCATAATCCAACTCTATATATTCATTCTTCTTACTCTTTATATCTCTTATCTTTTCTCGCAAGATATACTCGTATACTTACTATACATAATCGAAATCATCACCATTATTACATTACTACTTTCACCCCTTCTACTTTCCTGTTTTTTGCCCTACAAGGCTACAACTCCTTTCTATCTTCGTTCTTCCAAGCGAGAAATATAAATATAATATTTATAAGATATTTTATACCGGCCCCGTCTGTTTTGTATCGTTTTTACATATATATATAGTATATTCTTTAGATCCTCTATTATCCAATCCGATTCCCCTCCCTATATTTCATCCTTTCCTTTCCTTTCCTTT